TAAATAGAAGTTTTATAGCCACAATCTAAATTGGTACACGGTTCCACATTTCATTGACATAACCATTCAGTTTTGAGAATAAGTTACTTTAAGTTGTTACAGTTTATTTAAGTAAATGCTGACGTACATGTACTCCCCAAACTCACCTCCTGTTACACACCTGGCTGCCTGCTTACGCGGTGGGCAAACCACCTTTCCTGTAACCTCAAGAATCTTTGGGGGACTCTAATGACCCAATCGCTATGACACAGATCAGCAAATGAAAAGAACCAAATTTAAGACGTACAGGAGAGAGTCAGAAACCCCCCATGCAGACGAGCATCAGAAATAGAATGGAAACGTGGGCACGTAAAACATACCGACGCAGTGACGATGTGAGGTGCCTTGGGGCTTAAAGTGTCTTCGCAAAATCTACGAGCCGATGCTTCGGAAAAAGGTGCTATTCCCAAGATGCCCACAAGGCGGCAACAAAAAAGCAGCATTTGCTGGTGGCCTCCATTCAGATGCGATTCCAAAGGTGCGCACTAGGTGGCGGGGTGCCGCAGGGTCCCGCCCCGTCAGCCCGGCGTCCTCCGACGGCAGGGACGCGAGCGCGGAGCCCGCGTCCTCACCAGGGAGCGCGAGCGCGAGCGCGGCCGCGGTACTCGCCGCGGAAAACACGGCCGAGGCCGCCGACGGCGCGGACGCCGCCACTCAGCCGCGCAGCCCTTGGGGTGCCGCCGGCTGAGAACCTGCAGACGCGGCGACGCCCCGCAAGGAGGGCCCCGCATTTGCCACCCGCGACGCGAGGAGCGACTCCCCTCCGACACCTTCCGCCCCATGCCTCCGCACCGCGCGGGCCCCGCCTAATGTCGTGACACCATCCACGCTCAAGCTCGTCTTTCGGGAGAAATGGCCACAGCGGCTGCGGAAAAGAAGGCCCTCCCTGCGGTCACTTCACTTGTGGGACCAGAACTGCCCCCAAACTCCGTCTCCGCCCCGCCCCTCGCCGGGCGCACAGGGACCACGAAGCGTCCCCGGGGCGGCGTCCCCCCGGACCAGAGTGTTTGTTCTACCGAGGACGCCTCGGACGCGCAAAGGCCGACCCCTCGGTCCCCACAGGCCCCTGAGCAGCCGAGGAAAGAAAGGCCTGGAGGGAAAAGCGCCCCCGCCACGACCCCGCGGCCCTTGGCCACGCGTGTGCGCCGCTCTGCTCTGGGGCCCAGCCCCGCGCGGCCATCCCTGTCCTCGCACCGCGGGAAACGGGAGAATCCCCTCAGTCCTTTACCATGTCCCGGGCGCCGGTTCTCCCGTGTTTTCTTCTTTTCCCAGCCAGGGAAGAGGGGGTGAGCCTTGGCGAGCACGTCCACGCGAACCCCAGCCCGCTCCGCCCCGCGACCCTCGGACCCGCCCTGCGCCCAGCCCGCGGCGGAGAGGCCCCCAAACCTGTGCGGACCCGCAGACCCGGGTCCGTCTCCACCCCGTCGCCCTTCACCCAAACCCTCCCCGAGTCTCCCACGGCCTCCGTCGCCGCCACCCGCCCGCAGGTCGCCGTCCCCAAATCTCGGTTCTCTCGGCTCCACCCAGCTCTGCCGCGGGCCCCTCCCCCTCCCGCCCCCAACGTAACCCTTTCCAACCCCCAACCCCCGAGCCCCCGAGGCGTCTCCGGTCCAACCCTCCCCGGGGCTCACCGCTTCCCAGCACCGCGCGCCAGGGTCGCGTCCTCCTTCCAGGCACACGCCGCCCTCTCCCCTCCTCACGGGGCTTCGCCCCCCGCCCCCGAACCCTGACACCTGACCCCCGGGATCGCAGTCCCACCGGCACCTTCGCTGCCCCAGGGCCCGTCCCGGCCCCGCCTGCGCCCCCCTTTTAGCTCTGACCCACGCTTCGCCCCTTCCCGGCCCCTTCGCCCCTCACATGGCACCAGCTTGGTCGCTCCTCCTCCCGAAGTTCTGGAAGTTTCTCTGGGCAGACATAACCCACGCCATCCTCCACTCTCCTTCTAGGGACCCCCAAGCCGCACGGCCCCACGACGCCCCACCACGCATGCGTGTTCATCCACCAGCGCGTCCGGGTCCAGCGGCCGCGGGGAGCGAAGAGAGGGGACGGGCTGGACCTGAGAAGGGCCCCGGGAACGCGCGGCCAGTGCGGGTCCGGACGGTCAGGGCCGCAGGGACGTCGAGCTGAGTGGGGCGACTCCGCAGGCGCGGAGGACGCAGCGGGAGGCCACGCTGCTTTGCAGGCGGTGCAGCTGTTTGTTCAAGGAGGGGGTCTCGGCCCCGGTCAGGATGGGCGTTCGTAACAGGCTGCGCCTGCTCTGCGTCAGTGTTAGAAGCGGAGCCGGGAGCGCGGCGGGGCGGGCAACAATCCGGACTCGGTAATAAGCTCACTGGATGTAATTCCTACTTTCAGCCCCTCACCGGCCTCATCTCGCCTATTGCTCCTGCCTGCCACGTGCTCTTAAGAGCAAAGTCCGCATTCGCTATGCCAAGTACTGGGTGTCACCGGCGTTCCAACTGAAGACTGACAGTCCCCAGTCCAGACCACGATGGGCCAGGAGAGCGTGGCACACGGCGCCCTGCGCGAACAGGGAATCCTAGCCCCTTACGGGTTTGGGCCGGGTCTCGGTCCCTGTGCTCGACGAAAACCTGCAGGTACCCGGATGGCCCAGCCGGCCACGTGCGCACCTGTGCTGGTGTCAGGGGTGGGGTCCTGGGCAGGCAGCTCGGAAGGGGCAGGTGGGGAGGAAGAGCTGGTTTGTCCCTTTACGGGGGCACAACCAGCGCCAAGTCCCTGCATTAGTAACTTCCCCACTTCCACGCCCTGCCCATCCCCAGCCGTTTAAAATCTGTTCTTCGGCCCAGAGCGCTGCTCTGCTTGGGCCCACGCTCCCTTCCTCCCGGGCCTCACCCCGCACCAGCTTCCTAGAGGCTCCGATGGAGTCCAGGCGGCAGTTTCCTCGCAGGGAAGAGCCCGAGCCCGGCAGGCGCCAAGCTGACCCCTGGCTCCACCAGGCACTGGCTGTGTGACCTCAGCAAAACCATGGAGACTCGGTCTCCTCCTCTATCAGACGGGGACCCTCAGGGCGGCTGTGAGGCTTCCGCGGGGGGTGGAGCTCCCGCCCGGCCTGTGGGCGGCCTCCCCCTCCCTGCCCCTTCCCTGCCGTGCCCTCTATCTCCCACGGGCCGGACACGTGGGGAACGGCGCAGACAGCGTCCTCTCAGCAGAGTGAGCTCGGAGAGCTGCCACGGCTTCCCCGGCCCCGGCCCAGAGGGTAGGCCTCCATCGTCAGCACAGGCTGAGACTCTGTCAGGCCCCGGTTCTTCTCCCAGGTTTATTTCTGCCCGCACCCCCGCACTGGGCCGCCGGGAACCCCAGAGGCCGACAGCAGCCCCTCCGGCTGGGCAGCGGTGAGGGCTTTGACAGATGGCATCGCGGGGACCGAGACTCAGCCTTGAATGTGAGAAACAAAATAAAATATAGACTTTAGTTCATGATGATGTATCAATATTTGTTTATTAATTATAACATTTCTGTACAAAAAACAGGTTGAGAGTCAAATAACTGGAAAACTAGAGGAAATGGACGGTTTCCTGGTATAAGTACAAATTGTTACAACAGACCCTAAAAACGAGGCACATACAGGTAACTTACCCACGCAGACCCCTCTTCCGCCTGCTCATCGTCGATTCCTCATTGTGGGGTTTCCCGCTTGGGACATGCCGGGGGCAGGGCGGAGCTGCTGGGCTGCTCCCCGAGGGTGTGCCCCATCTGTGCCCTGATCTCCCCCACTGGGCACCCCCAGCGAGGCCCCCAGCAGAGGGCACCTTGGGGACCACCTGTTCTGGCGTGGCCGCTGGGACCCTTTGATTGCAATTTACTGGACACACCAAGGTAAAATACGTAAACAGATGGTCAATGGCAGGAAGGGTTAATGCCCGTGAGAGGCAGGCCGGGCTCCCCTCCGCGGCCCCCCCCCCCCTGCCATCCAGCAGCCACGTGGCTTGTCGGGAGGTGGGGCTGCGGGGAGGCCGTCCGTTCGCGAAGGCGGAGCCGCCTGAAGGAACGAAGGTCGGCGGAGAGCTGGGCGTGGAGTCAGCAAGCCGAGCACCGGGCCAGGACGTGCCTCTCCGCTCGCGCTCGGGTCCTTGGTCTCCACTGCCCGCCGCGGTCGCAGGCGCAGGAGGGACAGCGGGCGCCCTCCGCCCGGGGTTCCAGGACGCAGCGGGGGCCAGACAGAGGGCCCGGGGCCTCGCCCTTGACCTTCCACGTGGCGCAGCACCCGCTGGGGTTTTCCCACTTCTGTCTCCTCCAAGTCTCCCCAACCCGCTGAGCAGAGCCAGTGTGGGAGCTGCTTTTTTTCCTACTCCCTGACCTGCTATATGAAAATAGATTTTTTTTTTTTAATAAAAGAAAGATCGACTGCCCTCCTGTGGTGTGAGGTCAAAGGGAAAAAACACGGCAACATGGGAAACAGACCTCGGACACAGACCCCACTGGCCCTGACCTCGGACTTCCCGCCTCCAGCTGGCGAGATCAGCCGCCCTTGTTAGGAAACCACCCAAAACACCAGAATGGCGGCCGCCACAGCTGCCCAGAGGGAATGCAGCCACCAGCAATGGTGTGTAGGAAGACCTGGACTTTTGGAATGAGAAAAATTGTGTACTAGCACCTCAGAAGTTGAAGTCCTGACCCCAACCCAACTGACCCCCGCCCCTAACCCCTGGCCCTGTTCCGACCCTGACCCCGAGTCCAATCCTAAACCCTGGCCCCGACCCCAAACCGGCCCTGCACCCCAGACTCAAAGCGTCACCCTTTTCTGCCAGGATGGTGTGTGGTTACCATCCAGTCATCTTCCAGCATCTTCACAGGACGGAAAAATTGTGCCAAAGAACGAACCACAGACATGCTGCACATACCAGAATTCAGCACTGCAAAGTGAGGGATGAAACATACTAGGAGAGAGAAAAGTTTATTTTTGAAAGAAAATGTAGTCAAGAAGTTTTATCCCACCCAGGAAGCAGAGGCTAAGATGGTTAACATGTCTCAACTGCCTTTATTGATCTCTCGTATGTATTCACGTGTAACATCAGCTCACGGAAATCTGCTTCAAATGTCTCACATTGACCCCTGAAAATCCTAGACTGGCAACAACATTTTTACATACACAGTTAATTTTTACATTACATACTTAATGTTTATAAATTTTACATTTGTTTTGTACATTTCTATGGCTTTACTACTTTTGAGACAGAAGTCACATATAAAAATACAGACTATTCGGAACATAATGGTCCACCGTTGTCTAGAACGTGGTTCACACACCGGAGCTCGCTGACGGCACAGGCCACGTAGGATCCGTCCGCCTGGACACAAGCCGGACCCTCACGGAGCCTGGTGACTCAGGTGCACGGGAAGACCCACTCACAATTCTCCTCATGTTTCTAAGGTAAACACCAAACTATTGCATATATATTATATCTTCGTAGTTTTTAACCAAATTCCGGTCAAAAAATAACTGACATGTAATTACAAGATGTTAGAAACAGTTTAACACATACAGGGAAAATCATGTCTTACGTATTGCCTTTCTACCAGGCAAACATGGTTTAAAATAAATGAAATCCATATACGATCATAGGAAACAAATTTAGGCAGGTAACATTACAGATTTCACAGGTACCATGTATTTAATATTATGTCCAAACATGTCCTTGTATATCGAGGCCTCTACAGAGCGATTAGAATAACGTCAAGCTACGGCGCATCCGCCAGTAAACACATCCCGCCCGACTCCGGGCCGCGGGCCAGGGAGCACAGTGAGGACACAGCCTCCTTCACAACAGCTTCCATTTACCAACCGGGGACCACACACACGTTTCCCAAGCTACGCGTGCACACGGCATCCTGTGACAAAGGTGGTTCAGTCCCTTAAAAACGCAAACAGGTAAAAAGTAACCAGAGCTGGGTGACGCTGTTGAAACCACAGACACTGGCCCTCAGCCGCAGCCAAGGGGCCGAGGGGCGACACTCGCCACCGATTCCGGGCGGTGAGCCCCGTAGCAGCTCTCTGAGTGTGGGCTGACTGTTAACGCTCATACTGTTCCCTTCTTTGGATAAAAAAGCTTGAAAAAGAACCAACGTTTCAGATGACACGACATAACGAGACTGACAGGACCCCCTTCTGCCCGGGACCCGACCTCGATCAGACACGAAGCTGTGGACGCACGAGGCCTGGGGACCAGCCTCACAGAGTCGCCGCGAGCGCAGCTGCTCCGCCGCAGGGGAGCCAGTCAAACACGCATATTTATTCTCAAGAAGAATTACAAAACAAGTATTTTTTCCAGAATTATAAAAGATAAAATCTATGGAACAGTATTCTAATTAGTCAGTAGAGAAAAAGAGCCAACTGAAGTTCAAAAAAAGAAAAAGCCGAGGTCGTCTGTCAGAGTCTCGATCCACCCACAGAGGGAGCGCCCCCCGCGGGCTCTGCGGACACGCTCCCCCCTCAGCCCTGCCCGCCACCGGGCGGACGCCAGGCGGCTCCGGGCCTGCGCTGGGATGCTCCCTCAGGACGTCCTCGCCTGGGTTTTACGGGACAGCGGTTCTTCTAAAGGTAATAAAAGGGCAGGGAAAGGGTTCCCTGGGGGTCTTCCGGGGGCTCCTAAACCACATCTGGTGGTGTGATACTCTTATTCCTTCTTCCCTAAGACTATTTGAAAAAAAATACAGCTGACAACTCCCCTAAGGGTTCCACCCTTTACTTACAAAGAAAGAGGGTCCCCGATCGCGTTCCCGCTCCCAAAAGGCGGGGCTCGTGGGCCTCGGGGCCAGGCATTGAGTCGCTGAAACGCCGGCGCGTCCCACCCGGAGAGGCCTCCGCACACGTGTAACCCTGGGCCCCCTTCGCGTCTCACACACAGCCCAGGGCAGCACCCCCTTCGCGGGCCCCGGGGGCCCGGATGCGCGCCGCGCGAGGCATGGTCACGCCTGTCCCCGTGCTTCGCAGGAGCTGGAAGGAAACACCTTCCCCTGAGAGACTCCATCCCTTTCAAGGACACATTCTCCCACATACTTACATCTGTCAGATTACAATTTAAGAAATCCTACCATTTAATGAAAATTCTAGACGGAAACTAAGGTCGCACAGGAAGCCGAGCCGTGCAGACAGGGCGCGCCCTGCTCCGGCAGCCCGCGCCGCCCTCACTTGTCCCTGTAGTACAGCAGGTAGTGCTTCAGGGGGTCCGGCAGGGGCAGGCTCAGGACCTTCTCCCTCAGGAGGTTCACCGGGGGCTCGGGCTTCGCCTCCGCCAGGCGCTGCTCCTCCTCCTCGCGCTGCTCCTCGTCCAGGCCGTCCCCGCCGGGGTCCTCGGCCGGGCTGGAGATCCGGCTGGCAAAGACCTCTTTGTCCAGGAAGACGATGGTTTCCATGCGACGGCGCCGAACTCTCCTCCGCTTGCACCTGGGCGTGGTCCTCAGCCCCCTCCCCGGTCCGCTCGCTGCTTCCTGGCGCATGGTTCTCTTCACCGCGGCCCGGACGGCGATGCGCGCGAGGTCCTGGAGGCTGCGGACGGCCAGGGGGGCTGCGGCACAAAAGACGGGCATCGGTGTCTGTCTCAACAGCGCAAGCTTAACCGCCCTACGTCTGCCACGTTTTTAAGAAAACTCCAAAGCACACGCGGCCCAAGGGGGCGCTGCTCAGCGGGAGGGACTGGGGCTCGAGCGTCTCGATCCCCTCGGCTCAGAGCCAGCCCTGCTTTCTCCCTCCACCACCTCAACGCTCCAAACCACCGCAACCGCAGAGGTGAGGCTCTCACCCCGTCTGGGACGTTCACAGACCAAACTGGAGGGGCCTGGGCAGACTCTCACCCAACGCCCTGGTCCGGGGCAGCCTGGAAGCTCCCATGACTGAACCCTCGGCACCTCGTCCCCACGTCAGCACTGACCCTTCTCTCTGCTCCTTTGTCCTCTTCCTCCAGGAAGGCCTCCAGGGCTCACCCTGCCACTCGCTGCTGCTCCTAAGGCAGCTGAAACGAGCCCTTCAGAGGCCACCAGATCCCACCCCCAGCACCAGCCTCCCCAAGGAGGCGTGAGGGGACATGGCCCTACGGGGCCTCCCGAGTCTCCCGCTGGCTCCTCCTCCACCTGCTGGGCTGTGGTGGTGCTTCTGGAGGTTCGGGCCTCTCCCTTTCTCCCCTCTGTGCACTGACTCCTCACTCTGACATCTGTTCTGTGGCTTCGGTGACAAGACGCCGGCCAGCAGCCTCGGGCTCTCTCACATCCTGACCGGGGCCCAGGGCCTCCCCCAGACCCACCCCCGCAGCCACCCCCACGGGCCTCCCTCGAGTGCTCGTCTGCCCAGGCCAGTGCCTTGGGTCCGGCCATCCCCTCTGGCCTAGACAGCCCCCAGCGCCGCCTAACTGGCCCCCGCCTGCCTGCCCCGCACCCACCCACCCTGACAGCGGCCACAGCCCACGGCCTCCCGATGCACCGACTTCATCCGCGCGACTGTCCCCGTCCAGCAAGGTGACCGCTCGCCTCCTGGGCCCTGAACAGCATCGCATGGCACCCGTCCCCGAGCAGTTGCTTGAAGCCCTGGCCTCGGATGTGAAAGGTCCCCTCTGAGGAGGCTGAAAGACCCACGCGCCGCGCGGGGGCCTCTATACTCACGCAACTGCACGAGCCTCGAGCCCCCCGGCTCCGAGCGGGGCGGCTGGACCAGCGGAGCGAAGGACACGGCCAGGATCCTCTTGGTCTCCCAGGCGGCGGGGCCGGTGCGTGTTATCTTCGTCAGCTGCCCGGAGACAGAAGGGGAAGGCGCGCGACGCTGGGCTACCGGCAGGTCGGGCTCAGACACGGCCGCGCCCACAAGCCATCCACACACACACGGACGCCAGTGTCGCGACGCCCACCCGCGGCCCGTCCACGGCCCTGCTGGCACGTTCGGTCGGAGGCACCCACGGCCCTCCCCCTCCCTCCTGTTTCTGGGGACACGCGGCAGACAAAGAAGGTGGCGGACAGCAAAAGGCGAAGACCAGGCAAGGCCGGGGCCTCTGCGGCGACCCCTTCAGAGCCGGGCAGCGGGGAGGGGCCGCCAGCACCTCTCGGCCGCAGTCGCGACGCCCCGAAGCTCCCCCGCGCCGGCCCAGGACACGGAGCCGGGGCTCAGGCGCGGCAGCGCGGGGCTCGCGGCCCCTCTGGCGGAGCCTGTCCCGGCGACCCAGCCCCCCTGCGCGTCCCGGGCCGTCGGTCCCCAGCGGGCCCGCTCCGACGCGCCGAGGGCCAGGCTGAGGCGAGCGGCCGCCTCTCCAAACGTCTCCAGACCAGCGAACCCTCTGACCGCTGAGTCCGTGTGCCACGAGTCTTAGGGCCAAAAGCAGCGTCACACGCTCCATCGACATCAAGTCACTCACATTTGTGTGCATCGGCAAAGACGGTTTTAAAAGGAAAATTCCTAGGTATAATGACCATCAAATATTTAAATACAAGCAACAAACGATGTGTGAGCCCTGAGCACTACCAACCCTACTTCACATCCAGACGCACACAGGACACTGAGAACATGTCAACCCTCTTCAAGCCGATCCAGCTGTGTCACGGGTCCAGCAAAGATCCCATGTATTTTTGCAGAACAAAGATTTCTACAATTGTTTGTGAATAAAGACGTGTTTAAACCGCACGCTGATCTACTGAGCATGGGAGGGTGGGAGGAAGCCTGCAGGCAGGCACCACACTTTGCACGTCTCTAGGGAAATAAAGAGGCAGAAAAGCAAGAAATCCTCAGCCGGTCACAGAAATCAGACTGCCGATACGCGATGTGCCCCCATCGGAGACAAACAACAAAGGGGGTGCAGGGACCCCGCCGCTCACATGAGGGCTGGCAATGCTGACAGAGTGCAAGGAGGTCGCAAAGCCCCCAGGCAACACAGGACAGAAGGGACACGGGAGAGCCCAGGACACTGACGTGCAGCCCCCAAGGCCACGCTGCAGGCAGCTCTGCAGGACAGACGACCTCCCTTCTTCAAAAAACTGCCAAGAAAAAGGAAGAACTTACAGGTTAAAAAGCACTTAGGGAAGCCCTGGCTGGCGCGGCTCCGTGGACTGAGCACCGGCCTGCAAACCACAAGGTCGCCAGTTGGATTCCGTCAGGGCACCGGGCCCCCAGCAGGGGGCGCGCGAGAGCCAACCACACGTGAATGTTTCTCTCCCTCTTTCTCCCTCCCTTCCCCTCCGTATAAAAATAAATAAAATCTTAAAACAAATTTTGGGACAATGAGGGAACCTGATCACCAGCTGAGCTGACCCCGGAAGCTATTAAGAGATGACGACTGACTGTTTGGGCTGCGCACGGCTCTGCGGGCCCGGCCCCCACTGCCTTGTGCGGCCGCACCGCGCTGTCCGTGAGCGAGGCCGCTCGCGGGGCGGCCGGTTCCCGCGGGGAGGACGCCGGCCGGCGGTCATGGCGTCGCCCGCCTGGGAGGTGTGGGCAGGTCTGCCTCTAATCTGGGAGATTCACGAGTCGTTTTTGTAAATGTTTTATTTACTTATTTTTTCACTTCACAGGGCCTTTACATAACGTTCAGCAACGGTGAAGAGGACCCACGGCCCGATGGCCAGTCACAGGAACGGGGCCACGAACTGGGGCGCGCGCCTCGGCGGCTCCCGGGCAAGGGCGCAGCGCCACGGCACGAGGGCGACGGCCTGGGCGTCGCAGCCGCGAGCTCGCGTGCGGACCCCAGCGCGCACCCCGGCGCGCACGTGCACGCGCACGTGCACGCGCGCGCACGCCGTCGCCGCCTCAAAGGGCGCCCGAGAGCCAGCAGGTGCGGGCACCGCGCCCGGCCGCCAGCGCCCCTGCTCTTCATTCGGTCCCGAAAATGAGCGACCCCTTCTCAACAAAGTGAATCAAACATGAACATTTAAAAACTGCAGAAAATGCCCCCGGCTGGTGTGGCTCGGGCGTGAGCGCCGGCCAGCGAACCAAAGGGTCACCAGTTCGATTCCCGGTCAGGGCACCGGCCGGGCTGGCAGCCAGGTCCCCGGCTGGGGGCGCACACAAGCCATTGCTGTTCTTCTCTCACATCGATGCTTCTCTCCCTCCCTCCCCTCCTGTCTAAAAATAAATCAATAAAACCTTTTTTAAAAAAGTAAAGAAAACTGGAAACGCATGCATTCGCTCCTAATTTTATCATTTCCATTTCTCCTCGTTCTTTGTGACGGAGAGACAGCCTCCCCAGTGACCTAGTCAGGTCTGTTTTTCCCACTGAAACACAATGTCAAAAACCCACAGGGGACGTAGGGGGTGGAGGGATCGAGCACAAAGTAAAAGGGCTCGTGGACGTGGACAACACTGTGGGGATTTGGGGGGTATCGGGGGCTAAATGGCAATGGGGAAAAATGCAATTAAAAAAGAAGAAAACAATACAGAAATGTTTCTGTGCAAACAGCAGACTTGGCAAGACTCCTACCAAGCGAGGGATTCCGGTCAAGTCCCCGCGCGCACAGCTCTTCCCCATCCGACGCCCGTCAGAGGAGAGCCCCCCCCCCCCGCCCTCCTGATGCGCAGGAGTCCCGGGCACAGCAGGCCGCCCGCCCCTCCGCAGGGCGCCGCGGGGGGCGGGGGGCTCGGGGAGGCTCCACCGGCGCCTGGGCTCCCGTCTGTCTGCTTGTCGGTGAGACGCGGGCGGTGGCGGCGAGGGCGACACGGGGGGCGGGGACCTCCTGGAGCCGACCCTGGCACGGGGCCCCGCGCGAGGACGCCGCCGGCAGGGCTCTGACCTTCTCCTCCAGCGGCATGACCAGGATGCCGCCCACCTTGAGGAGGCTCTTCATGTAGGCCTCGTGCTCCCTCTGCACGCCCGCGCCGCAGTACACCCGGTCGTACTGGCAGCGGCCCGGCGCGATCTCCAGGCAGTTGCCGCTCACGAAGCAGGGTTCACAGAAGTCGAACCTGGCGGGAGAAATCGGGGTCATGCCACAGGCACGGGCTTGCTCCCGGTGCACACGGCGAGTCCCGCCCGGCGACTGCGCCGACCACGGGGCAGGGAGCTCCGGGGCTCGGTGGCGCAGCAGCGCGCGGCGGCTCGCCCAGCCAGGAGCGGGAAGCCAGGATTCAGAAAGAACTCAACGCTCCACACCTGGCGCCCCGACATCCCACACCGGAGACCCTGCACGGGAATCGGCCTCCGGTCGTCCTCGTCTCCGCCCGCCATTTACAATTCGTTCTTTTATTCAAAGTCGGCCACGCAGGTGAAGGGAGGGGAAACGAAATGCACTCGGCATTTCTAAAAAGTGTAATCCCTAGAATAAGAACTTTCATGCCCTGTTTAAAAATGGACAAGAGTTCCAAATACTATTTAAAGACAAATGTAGCAATTCTATTTCAGAAACAATTAGGTGATAAAAGTCTCTATCCGACACTGAAAACTGAGCAAAAGGAACACGCTCATGCCCGCTCTTACTGTATTGGTGCAAAATCACCTTCCCCAAGGTATCCCAGGTAACAAACCGAAAGCCCTTCAAACCACAAAATACTTTTAAGTCACGGGAGCACATCCAAGCACACCCGGTTCCCGCAGCCCCCGAGCCCCCGGGACGCTGCGACGCCTCACGTCTGCGCGACGACCCCCCGAGGGACAGGACCGGACCTTACTTGTCGAAGCTGTCGCTGGTCCTGATGAAGAAGTCTAGCTTCTGCTTCGCGTACTCGATCACGTCGGGGTGGAGCTCCACGCCATGGTTCACCCCGAAAGGGCCTGGAAGGGCCCCAACAAGACAGCCTTCAGAGGAGGGGCGGCAGCTCTCCCTCCTCCTCACGCCTCCCCCGGCCGCAGAGGAAGCGCCGGGCGGGCACCGCTGCGGGGCGCAAGGCTCCCCAGTCTGACCGCGCTGCCGGCCTGGTCGCCACACAACTCTGCCAGGGGAGCCGCTGCTCAGTCGCCCAGACTTTCTAGAAGTCACTGGGTCCACAGCTTTCCAAAGCCCACGCCTCCCTGCTCTCCAACCATGGAGGAATTATCTGAAAACGTGCGAACGCCGAGGTCTGCCCTGGCCGGCGCAGGTCCGTTGTTCAGAGTGCTGGCCTATAGGCGAAACAGCACGAGTGCAATTCCCGGTCAGGGCATGTGCCCAGGCTGCAGGTCCGGTCCCCGTCCGGGGCGCCTACGGGAGGTACCCAATAGACGTGGCTTTCACACACGGATGCTTCTCTCTCCCTCCCTTCCCCCATCTCTCCAAAATCAATAAAGCATGTGCTCAGGTGAGGATTAAAAATTAGCCAAGGTCTGAAACCAACAGTTCAAGGTCTCTCTAATAAACTAAAGAAGAAACATGTCTTTGCAAATGAGCCCTCTGCTCAGAAGGGAACCCACGAAACGCGCGGAGTCAGGGGGCAGGGTGGCCAGGGTGGGGGGAGGCGTCTCGCTCAGGGCCGGGCCTCAAGTCCGCAGGCCCTGGGAGGCCAGGGAGCCCCGGACCCCGGGAGGGTTTGCGAGAAACGGCGCTGAGGTGGAGCGACCTGAAGAGGGCGCCCCAGGGACATCGTGCCGGGACAGGCGCACGTGCGCCCCCGCCCCGGCCGCACATCCGGGGCAACGCCCCTTCAGACACATGCAGGCAGAGCGTCCTGCCCGCCGCAGCCGACACAGCCCCGGCCTCAGCTCGCTCCTCCCGCAGCTGATGCGACGCCAAGTGCAAGCGACCCCCAAAGGGTGCCCCGCCGTCAAAAATCCCCCTCAATTCTGACTCCTCAGGAATTTAACAACAGTCTCAAAACTTCACCAAGACCCAAAGCATAGGAACTTATAAAAAAACCAAAAATCTCATCCGATATCCACGAATACGGACTGTTCCTGCTAAGATTTTCTAAAGCAGCTCTAACCACCACTGGAAACAGTGTTGCAACGTACACCCTGGGAAGATCTCCCACGTTCAGAATCTCATTCAGACAAAAACTGTGCGGGAAATCTCCACCTTCAGCCAACCAACCTCAAAAGGCACCGGCCTCCCAGCGCCCGGCCAGCGCCCGGCCAGCGCCCGCGCCCCCAACGCCCAGCAGAACAGCCCTGCTCTGCCTCCTCCAACCCCGGATCACGGGGCCACCTCGCTCACCGTGCAAACAGGCGCCTGACAGAGGAAGTTCCGAGGCGCCCGAGGTGAAGTGCAGCGGGCGGCGGGGGGGGGGGGGGGGGGGGCGGGGGTCAGGGCTGCAGGGACCTGGGTCTCCCCGCCCCGGGCCTGCCCGCTTCACCCCTCCCCCCATCGACCCCCAACGCGAACCCCTTCTGCGCCACTCACGCCCTTCGGCTACTCACTCGCTTAATGAAGCGCCCTGTCCACCCGGATGGCACACCTCCGCCTCCTCCACCCAGCAAGGCCCCGGGGCCGGCCTGCGTGCCCGGACCTGGCCCCGTTTCTCCTCAATACACCCCCCCCCCAAAAAACAAAGCTGTCGGCCATGACAGGCGTGAACACGCCTTTCCTGGGGAAGGAATAAATATAAACTCCCCATCTGGCACTGCTGCTGCAAGACATCAAGTCAAGACACCTTGTGAGATCCCGCTCACCCTGGAATTTATCAGAAGGCGAACGTGCAGGTGTTAACTGTTCTGGGACTCAAGCCCCAAAACAAACCGAAACCACGTCAGAGGCGTTTCACCCCCAGGGGACTTGAACTTTTCTCAGTTCAGAGATGGAGCGACAGGGCCACCAGTGACTGCCTCAGGCAGGACAATCGGGGAGTGGCCAGGGCGGCTGCTCTCAGAGGGACCGGGAGCAATGCCCCAGGGCCCTCCCCCGCCTGCCCTGCCCCCAACTCTGGGTCAACACTCCAGAGCCCGCGGGGAAGGCCAAGGGCAGCGGCACAGGTCCCGGCACAGGACGTTGCCGACAGCCTCGCTCCTGCCACAGACCCTCCCGATTACCTAGAATGAGCCCCACCATGGAGCTGAGGTAGCCGGTGCCGCTGCCCAGGTTCAGGAATGAGAGCCCGGGCTGCAGGTCCAGGGCTTCCATCACCTCCGAGTAGATGCAGGGGGCCGACAGGTGCAGGTTGCCATGCTTCCACGCCAGGTCTTTGTACGCGTTTCCCTTGAACTCCTCGAGGTAGTAATCTGCGCGGTCGACGGCCCGGAAGGCCTGCTCCACCAGCTGCGTCCGGATGCACTGCGCCTCCTTCAGGTTGTCTATCAGCTCGTCGTTGTCCTCGCCGGCACTCACGGCCCCGCCCATCGCCGGGCGCCGCGGCAGCGCTGCAATCAGAACAGTGCAGAGGAGCCACTGACCGTGCAGGGAAAAGGCCAGAGTTCCGAACACATGCCCACTGCGAACTCTGAACCCGGGAACCTGCGGACGGAGTGGGTTTGGCCAACACCCACCTGCCCCAGCCCCAAGGACGTCAGATTCAGCAGGAAATCAACTCAGTGACACCCATGTAGAGGGAAGCCTGTGCCTCATAGTATCAACTGAATTCACATGAACTGGAGATACTTACATTATTTAACAGCTTTAACACATCATTTACTATGATTTCCATAGTTTACTTTCGTTGTCAATCTACAAAGTCAGGATTTTAGGGTTAAATTTATTTTGAACACAGACGTGCCCCCCGCGGCGAAATCTCCGAATGCAAACACAACAGGAGAGCGAGCAGCCCAGAAACCCACTCACACAGCCGCTGCTCTTGGAATATTTCAAGGGCTGCAGCTCTTTTCCTGTGAATCTTTAAACCAAAACCATTAAACTCAGGTAAACAACAAATACTAGAGATTATTCGTTGTTGATTTGAAGTTCGCTGTCCATGGTCCTAGGGTGTATCTGGCCCATGTGCCGGCAGAGGCCAAGCCCAGCAACCCCGCCGATCTCTCCCTTGGACCTGCTGATGCGCAAATTTCAGCAAAAACAACATCCACAAGACTCTTACTCTACAGCCTACGGTGACACGCACACACCGTACGGTAACAAACACAAACTCCCTTTCTGGGCCACAGTTCGTCGGGAGGAGGAGCTGCTCCTCCCACCCCCACACCCCGTTCTGAAGACCAGCCACGTGGCCCCTCCAGCTCTGGACCAGCCAATCGCAGGCTCCCTGTCGTCTTCCCACCTGCCTTCCCCAGTGCGAAGTGACACCACGTGCTCCCCTCTGGCCCCACTAGTGACACCTGAGGTGCCGTCCTCTCCTTCTCGGGGAAATGCTTTGTAGAGGTCTTACCCTCCCCAAACCTGGGAAAACATCTATTCCAACTTCATACTTAGTCCATGTAACTTTTCCAAAACCATGATTGTACTTCCCATGAAATGGTAACATTTTACCAAACGTCTCATCAATCGTTGGCGGAAAAAAAGGAAAACATCTGACCTCAAAGGCTAACACATTTTCCGAATCAGGCAACTCCCAGAACATACCATGATTTCCCCACAAGGTCTACACCGGCTTCCCCTCAGAACCCTCTCGACTGTAACAGGACGGGAATCACCGGGCACAGAGGCCCCACACACATGCCCGCTCACCCCGGGAGCTGGGCTGGGAGAGGCTGTCCCAAGGAGAGAAGGGAGAAGCCCACGGACGAACCTCCAGCTTCTCGCGAGCACAAGTGTGGGGCTGGGGGCACGGCACACACTCTCTCACATCACAGTCAGGACAGGACAGGACAGGGCGCCCTCGTCACTGGGACTTGAGAGCCGAATGTCAGACTTTACCGGCCCCCAGGACAGGACGGCTGGTGCCAAGGCCCTTGTTAGGCTTTGGTCTGGGCCCGGTTTAACCAAATGGGACGAGGTGCTAACGAGGTGGAATCTAATCTTGGATAAGCCACTTAGTGTCCAGGCTGAAGTCTGCAGCCCAGGTCTAGGCCAGGCGACTGCAAATTTGGGTCACGGGGTCAAAGTACAGCTGTGCGTGGCTGCTTCGGGGTGTATCTGGGAAAAGGCCTGGAACCCTACGTCCCCGGGGGCCCCGAGCCTCCCACCCAGACCCGCTGTCCCACACGGCAAACCCGGCAAACCTGCACGTCGGGCAGATCTGCTCTGTGCTCCGCACTATCGCTTCTCTTCAAATTTGCCTCACTGCGAAAATTTACTCCATATGCCGAGGCTGGTTTTTTTTGTTCTGCTTCGTTCTGGGTAAAAATAGCTACACCCTTTTCACAGGCACCCCCTGTCCGTCGCGACCTCATTGTGGCGCCACAACACAATCAGGCAAACCGGGAACCAAGCAGTTGCTTCCCCGACAGTCAGTCCCGCGTCAGTTGGCCTGGAATTCAAACCCAAGACCGGCGCCGGACAAACGCAGGTTTTAACGATTCTCAAGGCAGCAGCGCCCTCGCGGGCTGAATGTTTACTGACTTTGCATCGCTCCCTCCACACTGAGAACCGTCACCGCTGATCCCTGACCCACGTGATCCGTCTTCATGCCGCCAAAGCCACCACAGCGTCACCGGGGTCTCTGCCAGACCAACGCTGGGTCTCCTGTCCATTCACATCCGACTGGACAAAGGGACGCAAGGAGCTTCTCGGCAGCTGCACCGGACGGGCCTCGCCGTTCCTGACGCGTGGGGTACCGTCCAGGCCCGCAGCTGCTCGGGCACTTGCCGGGGCCCACGCCTTCCAAGGGGAACACCACTTCTCAAGGAAAACAAGGACAGGACAGCTCCCGCGACAGGTGAGCCGGGAAGGACCCCAACCGCACCGCCGGCCGACGGGCACGGGAGACACGAGACTCCTCGTCTGCAAAACCGGAGCTCACAGGACACGCGCCGCGTCCTCCCGACGCATCTGGGCTGCCGCGCGCGCGCTCCCGCCACGAAGGTCGGACCTGCGACCACCGGGCTCGCTGTCGTGCCGTGGGCAGTGCCGCCCGGGGCCCCGAGCCGGAGCCCGTCCCGGTCCGGGGCCTGGTGGCCGAGGGCGGCTCCCCCGAGCTCTGGGCCGTGCGGGGGCCCCGACTCCACCGAGCCCCGGCGGACGACCTGACGCCGAGACTGCGGGCGCGGGGACGAGGCCGAGCGGCTTCTCCGCGCCGCAGCGATGTGCCACCCGCGACGTGGGGGCTGTCCCCGCGCCCCAGGCTTGGGGGCGACGGTCCCCTCCTGCAAAGGGCCAGGAGCAGCGTGGGCTCACCCGCGGGAACTCCTGATTTGCCTGACAACCGCGAGCGCTTCCCGCTGGTAAGAGGGGGCCGCTGCGCCCCGAGGCGGTGCCGAGGCGCTTCGGGTCCGGGACCGGGGCGGGGCGGGGATACCCCAGGCCCCAGGGCCGGCACTCAGGCCGCGCAGCGGGCGCAGGTGGACAGCAGGGCGGGACCCGGGGCGGCGACGGCGGCCCTACCTCCGGGCCCGGCCGGCCCGCAACTCGCAGCTCCCCAGGCGCCGCTCGCCCGTCCGCCGCCCGTCCGCCTCCCGTCCGCGCCGCGCCGACTGCCGCCGCCGTAAACATCCACCGCCCCGGCGCGCCTGCGCCGGCAACGGCCCGACTGCGCGTGCGCCTCGGCGCGGCGCGGACAGGGCCGACAGCGCCGGCCCCGCCCCCGCCCCGCCCACGAGGCCGCGACCCGCGGACCGACGACTGACAGCGAGGCGCGTGGAGGGACCAGTGAACGCAGGGCGGGCGCTGCGCCCCGCGGGGATGCGGAGGTCAGAGCGCAGCCGGAGGCGGGAGTCAGCGCTTCGGCACCGCACGGCGACCCCTCTGCGAGCACGACAGGCGGGGCTGACAGGTGGCGGACGGCCACACGGGGGGCGGGGACTGCGGCGGCGTGGGCGGCGCGGAAGCGTCACTCGGGCCCGCGCGTGCGGGACGAGATAGATCCAGCCTAGAGCGGGCGGGCGGCCTCCGACCAGGTCCGCAGCGCCCGTCCGCGCCGGGTTCCGCGCCGGGCCACCCCCCACCCCCCACCAGCTACCGATCCTCGCCCTCGCCTGGGTCGCCTGCCTCGGCAGAACCGCGCCCCTTCCCCTGTCCCCGCGGAGACGCCCGCCGCGCGAACAGGCCCGGCTGGGCGCCCCAGCGAAGTCCGCCGCGAACAAATACGTTTCGGACAGTGGAGCTGCGTCGTCCATGAAGGACGGACAGCGGAAGGCATCGCAAATGACCCCGAGTCCCAGCAGTGTCCGCTGGAGAACAGAACGTTACTGTCGCGGCGTTTGGGTCCTGGGTGCTGACCTCAAACACGAAGGATTGGGGGGTGCCCTTCCTTACGTGCACCCACGTTCCAGTCCGCAGGCCTGAGCGGGCGGGCGGCAGGAGCCTCTGGGCTGGCAAGAGGCCGCGGCGCTATGGCCACGGTCCCCGGCGGGGCTCTGGCCGCCCGCCCTGGGTGTCAGGAGCCCTGCGGGACTCCTGGCTCAGTTGGAGCCTGTCCGCTGTGACACGTGGGAGGATGGAGTCTGGGCAAGGGGAACGGCTGTGCAGTTTGCGCGCGTTGTACTAGGCAAAGAGAACTTGTCTGCAGAACGATGAGAAGGAGCAAGACACGGGCGTGAGCCACATGGCCACACAGGAAGGGGAGCAGGACAGCACGGGGGGGCCGCGGTGTGCGTGCATGTGCGTGCGTGCGCGCGCGTGTGTGTACGTCCCACACAGGAGATGCCGGGTAAGGGTGTGTGCACTTTGTTCATCTCAGGCTGACAGGCCTGTCCTGGAAAAGCTGACCACGCTCAGCTTTGGTGGCCTGTGGGACACCGCACGGGAGGTGCTGACCCACCGCCCCAGGCGCGGGGGAGCCGTGCTTGACAGCCCCTGGTTTCGGGGCGTCCCTGGGCCGGTGCGTGGCCCCTGGGAAGCCCTCGCTTGCAGGGCAGTTGCGGGGCCCTTGCTGGCCATCAGCCGGGGTCACCCTGCGTTGTGTTGTCTTCAAAACCCAGCACTGCGGCTTCCTTGGGCTCAGGTAACCCCTTTCTAAAGTTTTTTTTTTTTTTACTGTGAAAATATGTACATAACAAAATGTATCATTTCAACCATTACTCACCGTGGCATTAAGCACATTCACACTGTTGTGTAACCATCACCATCATCGCCAGAATTCTTTCGCAAACTGCAACTAAAGCTGCGCCAACACACTCTGGAGCCATGGCCAAGACGAGCGGCAGGGGCTGGGCTGGCTCCCACGCCGCTGGAGCCAAGAAGCGGACTCGTGCGTGAGGCAGCAGCTCTCTGCCACGCGCTGTGACGCGGCACAGCTCAGTGGCTCCTGAGAGACAAGAGGCCAGTGGGCCGAGCCTCACGATCGCCCCTTCCGCTGCTGTCGCTGCGTCCAGGCCGCAAGGCAGAGGGGACCCCCAGCAGGGCCTGGAGGGCTCCCCGGGGTGAGGGCCCAGGGAGACAGAGCCAGCCAGCCGTCGAGGAGCAGACTGGGCACAAGGGCCCAGTGGAGGACGGGTCGGCCCCGGTGTGTGGGGAGACAGCCCCGGGCAGGGAAAGGGCTGCAATGACATGACCGGAAGCAACACTGGCCACGGCCACATCAGGCGGGGAGAAGTGCCTGCCCCGCTGGCCAGGCCGGAAACCCGGCGGTCCATGGGACATCGGACAGAGTCCACCAAGGGTCTTGCCTCCGCCATGTGATGACTAGCCCCAGACTGGCCACCACGCAGGCCCCGCCTAACAGCGGCTAGAGCACTGTCCCGATGCGCCGCGGCTGCCGGCTGGAACCCCGGTCAGAGCCCACGCAAGAGGCAGCCCATGAGTGCAGAGAGAAGAGGAACTGCAAATCGACTTCTCTCTCTCTCCCCCGTTCCTCTTTGTCTCTAAAATCAATGAGGAAAAATATTAATAAAGTAATGGGGAGAGGCAAAAAAAACCCCAAACCAGAAGACTCTATACAGCATGGGAGAGAAGAACCAAGTTGGAGGATGGACATGACCCAGCCACGTGACTTCCTGCAAAACTGCGGTGACGAAGACAGTGTGGCATTGGGGAGAGAGTGGGCAGACGGACGGAACAGAACAGGGAGCCAAGACACAGAGCTGCACAAATGCGGTTACCGGACCTGCGACAGAGAAGCAAAGGCAGCAAATGGGGGACGGGATCGCCTTTTCAACAACCGGCACTTGGACAACTGGACATCCGCATTCACAGAAACGAGGCTGGACACAGGCCTCACAATATTCACATGAAAGTTCTACAAAGTAACAGAAAATCTAGGTGACCTTGGGCGTGGCAATGATATTTTACGACAACACCAAACATATGATCCATGAACGAAAACTATGGCCTTGAGTCACTGCATCAGCCTGGACACGTGAATTATCACAATGTGTCCCACTGATGCGAGACCGATAGGTCTCTGTGCCCTCTCTGCAATGTTTCCTCCAAACCTAAAACTGCTTTCAAAAATTCAGGCTATTAATTGTTTAAAATGATAAAATAAAAGCTAGAAGAAGGAGACTCAGGCAACATGACCTGATAAAGGGGCTTTCCGGACAGGAAGCGAACAGCGCCAGGCGGGAACGCAGGTCTGTACCGGGCGTGGAGACGCGGGGAACGCGAGCCCCGTGTGGACTCCCCGAGGCTTCCGAGTACGTCCTGGTCCCGGCTGAGGACGCCGCTTCTCGTGCCCTGCACACAGCGCTGCCTGGCCGTTTTCACTGCGGGCAAGTGCTGGCTTTGCGATGACAGTAACCGCAGTGCGTGTTATCGGCTAAGAGCTTTACAGAGCATCCTGTTTCTAGGAGCAGCTTGTTTCTCCACCTCAGACAGAGATTAGGAAGCTGAGTCCGGCCCCCGGCTGGGGACTGCTCGGGCTGGGGCGTGGAGGCAGGTACACAAGCCTCGCTGGGGACGGGCTCCTCCCTTGTCAGCCAGGAAGTGCGGCCAAGGCCACCTCGCTGCCTTGGGCAGAGGAAGTGGGAGGGCGCGTGGGGGGCCCCCACCCCGCCGCCCCGCCTCACATCTGCAGAGGAGGGGAGGCCTCGTGCCCCCTCCGGTGTCGAGGGCCTGAGTGAGATCTTCCCTGCACGCGCACAAGACGCCCCCTGGCCCGGGAAGCAGAGCGGGGGTGGGGGCATCCCAGTCGGTCGGCCGCACACTGAACCTTCTCTCCTGCTTCTCACTGGAGAGTCAGCACCCCGACCCCAGCCGCTTGGGGACAGTGATAACAAGATGTGAGATTCACCACTAGATGTCGCCACAGCACAGCTGTTGTGTGGGGAACATCCTAACTAGGTTCTCTGGAAAAGGAAAAGCGTTTCCTCTTTTTAAAGCGTGTGTGGCCCAAGCGTGGAGTTTGCCAGGGCTCAGACTCACGTGGAGGCCTCTCTGCTGTTTGCACCCCACAGGACACCGCGGTCCGATGTCGATCTGAACGTTTTGGTGGGCTCTAATATTTGTATCTGTCAGTGCGAAAAGGCTCGTGAAATAAAATACTTTCTCATCTTCAAACACACCACCCCAATAAAAAGCTAGCAATGCAGGGGCACAGGGCAGGGCCCGAGCAGGTGGACTTCTGTGAGCCCTTGGCCAGGCCACGTGCCTGAGCAGTTGGTCAGACCTCGGTCTGCACGTGGATGGGAGGGTGTTTCTTTTGATGTGTTAACATCCAGGCCACTGAGGCCCCATAAGCAGAGGCAAGACCCCCAGGGAAGATGCACCTCGGCCCCCCGACTCCTAGATGCGGCTCCTCCTGGGCCTCCAGCCTGCTGGCCGGCTCTGCGGGGCTCACACGGAGCCCCCACAATCGCGTGAGCCGATTGGCTAAAATCAGTCTGTCATCTCTCTGATCGGCCTCCCGTGGGCCCTGATTTCTGGACAGCTGACCCACGCAGGGTCCGCACAGAGAAATGGTGTCAGACTAGGGCCCGGAGGCCTGCCTACAGGACCCCATGTTTCCTAGGGTGCAGGTCCCAAGGTGGGGTCCCGCTCCCTTCACCAGACCCCCAGCACCCCTTCCGCCCCCTGTGACTCAGGAGAGGTCAGGCTTCACGCAGGGACGAGCGTGAGGGCACCAGCCTCCGCGAGGAGGGGCCGGTTTGGGAAGAGAGGCTTCTGGCTGCAGCCCAGCGTGCGGACGGGGTGCTTCAGGGCCACCTCGCTCACACCCACGCGTCTGCCAACCGATGTGAGTACAGCCCCCACCCCCCACCGTGGGCCTTCAGCAAAGGGGACGCCCAGGGGTCCTCCCGGGAGCCTCCCACACAGGTTCGGCCCCATCCCCACTGTGGTGCCTCCTGCCCCCGTCCCCACAGCCGGTCGGAGCCCCCCAGACACCACGTGCCCCCGGGCGCCCTGGGCCCTGCACGCCTCGGACCGGGGCTGGACATGGGAGCCAGGGTTCCCCAAGCGCCTCCTCTGCTCACAGGTGAGACGGTCACTCGGGAGCGGCCTGCAGGCCCAGGCGGGTCAGCCTGGGTGTGACCGGAAGCCCGACTGACGTCCCGCCCTGGGGCCCGGGGCTCCGCCTGCCACAAAGATGTGACCGGAGGCGCCACACACGCCGCTCAGAATGAAAGGGGTCTGTCGCCTCCGGTGCCCGGGGCCGTGGCTTCTGAGGTGGCTGGACCCAGGCCCCGAGCGACCCCTCAGGCCCCTCCCCTCCCACGCCCACCTTGCTCTCCACCTCTCAGCCCTGTCCCCCTCCACACGGTCCCAACTCTCTCCTCCTGCGGGCTTCCTCCCACCCCCCACCCCCACTCCCCGCACGGCGCCCGGGAGCACTCGGGGACAAAGGCGGCGTCCGCACGACACTCAGTCAGAGTGGACTTTTATTAGGAAATCACCCTGCAAACACACCGAGAAGTGCTGTGCTGTGGGTTCCACGCGTTTCCTGAGGAAGGAGGGTCACAGTATCGACGCCGCGGGGGCGCGGGGGGCAGGGAGCGGGCGGGGTGCGGCGCCGCGGGGGCCCGCGAGCCCTCCCAGCGACACGGCTCGGCGTCACGGCCCCACACACGGACGCGACACGACACACAGCTGCGCTACACGTAAATGAACAGTAAGTACCGAGTTCCGCCGGCTGCTGCCTGCCCGAGCCCGGAACCAAAGGAACCGAAAGGGGTAAAGAAAACCAAGTCTTCCTTTCCGCTGGACCAAGGGAAGGACATCCCCAAATTATCAAAATTCCTCAGTTACAAAATACTTCTTAAAAAATTCCATTATTAAAAGAATAAATAACAAAATATATAAAAAATAACTTGGTTGCATCAAAATTATAACTAGAAGTTATAGCAAGATTTTTTGTGTGTGGCCTATCTCATAGTCGGTTAATTTTGCTTTGATTTTGTTTATTTCTCTCTCCTGGCGTCCTGGTGTCTGGGGTCTAGTTAAAATAGTATAAAATTAATAAATAAAATGTCAAATAAATAGTAAACGTTAACATAAAAGAGGTTGTGAATATAAATACTTACATCTTGACAAAATTAAATAATTTACAGAATAATTAAACTAACTACTTTTTATTTCTTCCAGAAAGAGCAATTTCTCTACTTTTAAATACTAACTTGGAATTGCAGTCACAATCGATTTGGACTCTATTTACATGTAGGAACATTGTGTTTTTAACACATTAAATTAAAATTTACCTTTTTCCGCATCGTGAACAGATCTAAAAAAAAGTGAAACATGGGTGGTCTCTACCTCAGAGCGTCCCCCTGACCTGGCTGAAGCTGCCCCCACCTCGGTCGCACTCAGCCCAGAGCCAGGAGCACAGGTCCCGGCCCGAGGACACCCAGCGTCACAGCCCCGGCCCGGCCCCAAGCCAGACGCGGGCACAGAGGCCGCAGCCCCACGCGGGAGCCGGGAGCCACGTCCGCTGCCCCCAGGGGGTGCTCCGCTGGGAGCCAGCGGCCAGCCCCCGGGGGGCCCCTGCTCAGCCCCTCAGCGGCCCGAGGGCTGCAGGCCTATCCCTGCCTTACCCCCGAGCGGTGCTTCATTCCATCCCTAACACAAAAGTGAACCAACTGAAAACAGAACACACACTTCCCCACAGCCCGGCGAGCAGACGCGCCGGGCACGAGCCCCGGGCTGCCACCGCGGCCGCCCCCCGGCTCCCCAGACACAGGAACACCGCGGTCGCAAACTCGGAAACTTCCCTGAGAACCACTGGAGACGTCGAGCTGCTCTTCAGATATTTTCAGAAAACAAAAATAAATCAATTTGTAAAACTTCAAGCTCTGCCCTCGCTCGGGGAGGCGGAGGCCCGTGGCCTGGCCAGCACCCTGGGGGGCGGGTTTCCAGGCAACCCTTCAGACGGCCCCGGGGCCACCCGGGCTGCCACCTACAAGTCACTGTGACGAGGGAATCTGCGCGGGGGTGGGCAGGGCGGGGGAGGTAAACAGCGAGCCACGCGGGTGCCTGGAGCCCCCTCCGCAGGCGGGCCTAGACCTGGATGCCCCGCACGGCCTGCTTGATGCTTTCCAGGAGGTCCTTGTTCTCGGGGTTCTGGTAGCACTCCTCGTTGGAGTACATGTCGGTGAGGGTGGTCACGTAGGCGTCGAAGTTCTGTTCACAAATCGGCTCCTGGAGGACAGAACCGGTCTAGCGAGCCCTGTCCGTGCAGCAGGCCCACGTGTTTGCGAGAGTCGATGGGGCAGCCCCAAGACCCCGCCCCACCCAGCACTGACCGCTCCGCCCGCAGCCCCGTCAACCACGAGGGTTTGGCAGGGGTTCCCGAGCGACGCAGGCTGGAGCCGCTCACCAGGTGTGGAAGGCGGATGTCCGCGAGGCTTCGGATGAGGGCCTGGCTCAGGCCCGACAGCTCCAGGAACAGGGCCTCGTTCTGCTCCTCGATGAGCCGGTTCTCCTGCTCAATGCTCCGCAGGCTCTTCTCCATAGAGCAGATCTGCGCCAACAGGGCGGGCCCGTGTCCCTCGCATGTTCCAGACACGCCTCGCATCCCTCTGGGGGAGGCCCGGGGTCCCGCCGTGCTGAGGGGCGGACGGGGCCCTGGTCCCTCAGGGGGGAGGGGCCGTGGCCCAGCGCTAGCTTCCTGTTCCTCATCTGGGGGGTGCTCTGCACCCGATAGGGTGTCTGGCTGCCTCTGGGGCACCCCCCACAGAGCCCACCGACGTGTCCAGCAGAACTGTGGAAGGCGGCAGGGCAGCTGCCTGTCCCCGACCCCCTGCACGTCACCAAGTGGAGCAGCCGATGGCTCCGCCAGGTGCCCCAACAGTGCCCTGGGGCCCCCAGCAAGGGCATCTCTTCTCCGGACCCCACAGGACACTGGAGGGGCTCCCAGCCAGAAGCCCAGAAGCTGCTCCCGGGGGTTCTCAAGCTCCAAGACGGAATCCCAGAGAACGGGGTGGCCACAGGCCACCGCATGAGTCTCGGGTGGGCCCGTGCAGAGGGCACAGCCAGCGTGGGGAAGGGGGACGCGCCCTGGGGCTAGGCCTGCAACAGACGCGCTTGGAGGGCAGCCCCCGGCCTGGCTGCACCGCGAAGGGGCCCAGGGCCGAGGCAAGTCCACAGTGTCGGTGACACACGGAGCCGCCCCTGCTGGGGGACAGGGGCTTCCTCTCGGCAGGCTGTGGGCCAGCTGGAGGGCTCTCCTCCAACCAGGAGGCTCTGCGGCCGGTGGCCCGGGAGCGTCATGCTTCCTCACCGGCAACAAGCCTCTGGCTTAAAAGATGGAGCACGGGTTGGGGTCTGCCCTCCCTTTGCCCGAGCCCTCTGCAGAGCACGTGGCCCTGAACGCCCTGGGGCCGGGGGGAGTCCTTCCTAAAGGACGCCGCTGAACACTGTCTTTGAAAACGTGGGCGCTGGCACAGAAAGAGGAGCCCGAGGGGCCACCGGCAGGGCACCGAAAGGGAAGGGCCAGGGAGGGGCAGACACAGCCCAGCCGTGGGTCTCGGTGCCCAGAGGTGGCCCGACGTCCCCGCTCTGCTTCTGCTGCCCACGAACCTGGGGGAGAAGCTGCTGGCCCCGTGAAGACCCCTCCCGGTCTCCGAGGCTGACGCTGTCTTTGTACCAGCCTCTGGGTGAGAGGCGGGCGGGGGGGAGGAGCAGCGCTGGACAGGTCACGCGGCAGCCGGGGGACGGGGGCCCCGCGTCCCCATCCGTCCTCAGCCTGAGGTCATGCCGGGCCCGGCCCCCTCCTTACCCCTTGTCCCTCCAGCCACAGGGACGTGACCACGTGGGGCACACCTTCTGGGCGCCCGCTCCGCGGCGCAGGGCGGGCCGCGGCCCTATTTTCAAAACGAGACCTTCAGGGCTTTTCTCGCGCGGACGAGCGTTTGTCAGGGGACAGCAGGGAGGGGGGACCCACGTGCCTGCGCCCTGTGTGGGCCCATCGCTCAGCAGCGGCAGCCCCGTCTGGGTCACGCTGTGCTGGTTGCTTGGCTCCTGTCACAACCACCACGTGGACTGGGAGGCTGTCGCCCATCCCGCCGGCGCCAGCGGGGACAGGGAGGCCACGCCAATCCGATCGAGAGGTCGCGCCCCGCAGCCTGGGTGTGGCCGTGCGAGGGGCGGCACCCGCCCCGCCCAGGCGCTTAGAACCCGCAACCTGGGAGGTGCTGCTTCTCCCGACACTCACCCCTGCCCGCGCCGCCCGCCACGGAGGACGGGCGAGCACGTCCGGGGCTCTGCCCCCGCGCCCTGGGGCCTCGAGGGGGAGGCCAGGGGCCGAGGGCGGGGGGCCGAGGGCAGGGCCGGGGCCGGCGGGCGGGCCGGCGGGCGGGGGCGCCACGCACCTGGGACTGCAGCTGCACCATGGCGGCCTCCATCTCCGAGTTGGACTCGTTCAGGTCGCGGATCTCCTGGTTCAGCTGCTTGATCTCCTCGTCGTTCTCCAGCACTGCCCCAGAGAGAGACCCCGCCTGGCTCCGGCCCGCCCCCGGCCCGCGGCGCGCGCCCGGGGCCGCCCTCCGGGTGCAGCAGGGGCCCCTTCCAAGCGGAGCCCCCCCCCCCCGCTTTCTGAGCCCCCACGCCTCGCACTGAGGAGGGTGGTCTTGGAGACCATGAGCCGCGTGTCTGTGCTTTGCCTCCGGGCCCTGGGTCACGGGTGGGAGTGGACAAAGCTCTCGGGCCGGCACCAGCGGCCGGGATCAGATGCTGCTGCGTTTCACGGACGCTCTCAGCTCCGCAAGCCGAGGACGCGGCCCCCGGGGCCGCCCACCGGCCTCTCCGACGCCCACGCCCTGGACCGGAGGTCGGAGCAGGAGGGCTGGGAGCCCGGACGCGGGCCACCGGAGCTCGGTGCCGAGGCTGGGAGACCCCGGGGGGAGGCCCGCGCACCCGGGCTGCCAGGGACCCGCGGAGACGCTGCGGGGCCGCCCTTACCGTCGCTCGTCTTGAACTTCGTGCCGAGAACCTCATCCCCTGAGAGTTTTCCCTTCTTCCCAGCAAAGGTCGCCCTGGGACAGCCAGACAGGCTGGAAGCAAAAGTCATACATCAAAAACCAGTCCAAGGTCACACAGGTCGACGACAGCCAAGCCCTCGCCGCTGGCAGCCGGCAAGGGTGCTGGATAGAACATTCTAGCTCACGTCCGCTTGCCCCTCGTTGCGGAACAGCCCCGCGGCTCCCTCACTCCTCATCCAGGACCCGGGCCCTGTCCCGAGGCCCGGACCCCCGAGGCCTGGGGGCTGCTCACCCTCCGAGAGGCCACCCCCTCCCGCCCCACCCCAGGCGCTTGCTCGCTTGTTCGTTTGCCGCCTGCCCCCCACCGCCGGCCCACATCGGCTCCGGGGGGGCCGCTGTCCTTCCTGTCTCTGCTCTGCCTCCAGAGCTGGGGCAGCTGGGCCCCAGGAAAGGCCTGCGGAACAAACGAGCGGAGTAACCCCACGGCGCGGCGACAAGGGCGAGGACGGGGGAGAAGACCGGCCCGACGGGGCCGGGGGTGACCCCGGCCCGTCAGCCGTCACCTGGCACAGAGGGGACGCAGGCTGGCCAGGCGAGGTTGCCCGGCCCTGGGGCAGGCGGGCGGGCACGTCAGCACCTGGGGCCCCAGCCCTGTCACGGGCGCGTCTCGTCACCAGGCCCCTTGCAAACCAGGCAGAGGCCTGGCCCCAAACTTCAAAGACGAGGCCCCGGCTGGAGGGGCAGGGCATGGGGGTAGCAGGCAAAGCTTTTCTGAAAAGCGGGCAGCCTGTGGCCAAGCACTCGGGGAGGGCAGCCTGGTGAGACAGACACGCAGGGGACACGGGTCGCAAGTGCCATCACCTGGTACCAACAGACTCCCTCCTGCCTCCCCAGTCGGCCTTGTCTTCCCTCGAGAAAGCGCAGGTCACCTCTGCACCCCAAAGGGCCCCCCGGGAGCCTTGTGCAGAGCCCACCGCCGGGCTCCCAGGTGCACGGACAGGGTGTACAGGCCGGGGGGCAGGAACCGCTACCTCCGGTGCGTGAGGAAGCTCCCGTTGGCGTGGCCGGAACCGTCACAGCCCGGGGTGGGGCAGGTGGGCCCCTCATTCTTCAGCGACTTCCAGGAGAACGAGGCGCCGTTGAGCGAGCCCTCCTTCTGCCTGCGGGCGGCCAGCGGGCAGCCCGAGGCGCTCCTGTGGGAGGCGTACTTGCCGCTGATGTGGCCGAGCCCCACGCAGCCTGGAACGGGGCACCTGGCACAGAGAGGTCAGGGAGAGTGAGGGGCGCGGGGGTAGAAGCCCGAGAGCCCTCGCTGGGCGCGGGCACCAAGCTCAGGGCTGGGTGGCCCAGGAGTCTCAGGGGGTCAGAGCGCCCCTGCGCCAGGCAGCTCGGGGACAGCGGAGCCTGTTGCCCTGCGCACCCCAGGACGAGGCGGTCACACGGCACGACGCCCATGGCCGTCCCAGCTTTGCCGCATCTGCGGTGTGAGTTCTGGAAGGGCAGCCGGTAAGGCCACAGAGCTCAGGCAGGGACGGTGTGACTCAGACACCCCGCAGTGACTCGCCGCCCCCCTTGGCTCACGCTGTGGGGGGGTCTCTGTGGAAACCACCGTCTCCCCAGGGACAGGTGAGTCCCATTGACAAAGGCTCAGAGTGACCGCCTCACACGCTTCTGTCGGGATCCACGCAGTCACAGGAAACAGGACGAGGCAGAGAGCCCTGGGGGTCCCTCCTCGTGGCCTGCCTGCGGGGCACCCAGACCGGGAGCGCCTGCTGCGCCTCCGGAGCCCGACGGGTCCAGACTTTGGAGCCCGCGTGAGGCGCAGGACAAGACCCCCCTCCGCCTGCAGGTGCTCGGTCTTTTCCCTCCACCCAGCGGCCTCGTTCAACCCGATGCCTGTCACACACGGTCCGCGCTGCGGGCCTGGCACACACGCGCGACCCAGAGAGGCACATCACCCCCGCTTACAGCAAGGTCCCCCGGGTTCAGGGCGGTCAGAGGCAGGAAGCCGGGGACGGGGCACCCAGGGGCAGGGCCTGCTCAGGCTCCCGGGCCCTGGACGCCCCAGGAGGCAGCACCGCATGTGCTTCCCGCCGGACATGTCCCCTCTGCCGGCCCCGGCCCCCCTTGCCCACCCGCCCACGGGGCCTCAGACCTCGGGGGTGTCCGCCCAGCCAGCCCAAGGGCATCCTGGCCTGCAGTCCAGAGCAGAGACACTTCCAGGGGCCACGCAGGGGCTTTGGGAGGTTCCATTTCACACTCCCTCCCCAAACCTGGCACCTCCCAGCTGGCCAGTCCCAGGGGACGCCTGGGCCAGGTGTTCTGAGGTGCCCATGCGGCCTCGATGCACAAGGTCGAACGGCCAAATGAGGGGCCACCCTTTGCTGCTGCAACGCACAGTCAGACTGGAAGTCTCCTTCCCCCTTTCTTTGCAGACCACCCCCAGCCCCATCCAGAGGGACGGCCGTGCTCCCCGGAGCTGCACTGGCAACGGGCATCTTCCTTCCGTCTGCCCGGCGCCCAGACCGTCAGGGCTGCCGGGAGGTCTCACAATAGCACACATGGGCTGCCAGCTCGGCGGCTTCCGGGGTCCCGGATGAGCCTGTGCTGGGGTGCGGGAGCAACGTGCCCCCAGGCCCTGCCACAGCAGTGTCTCTTCGGTCAGACGCTGCCGCAGCCGCGGACAGAGGGCGTGGCGCCCCCCGCTCCCAGGCTGGGACCTCCACGTTCAGCTGTGGCCGAAGCCCTGGCGGGACTTGGTCTCGAACGGTGCAGACCCAGGGCGTCACCCAAGGGAACCCCCCCCCCGGCCCCTGCAGAGGCAGGGCGCGCGCGCCGACGGGACCCCATCACGCAGCGGGGCCAGCGCGCCCGGCGGTCTCTGCAGTGGCCTGCTCGCGCGCAGAGATGACGCTCAGCTCTGACCACGCTAAAGCTCACGGCGGCAGGCGGCCTGCAAGGGAGGCGCTGCGGGCGCCCCCCCCCGCCGAGGAGCCACCAGGGACACACCCGTCCTACAAATGCTGACCTGTCTCTTACAGTCACGTTCTCCGCTTGGAGGCAGAAATCTTGTTTCAAAAAAAAAATTAAAAAAAAAAAAAACGCATTCAGAGGAGGAACATCGATTTCCCCAGTTAACTTGAAAAGTGCTGACGACGATCGGAATCATTTGCAAAGGCAGCACAATGAGCTCACGGCGGCCGGCGGCAGGGCCTGGGCGGTCCACTCCTGCGATCGCAGCAAAACCCTGCCACCCTCACGGGTAGGAGGCGGCCTTCACAATACCAGCCACACGTTCTGCATTTTTGATTTAGCATCTGTTACAGTATCACTGTAAAATTTAAATAAAAATGGCATAGCCCATCCCACCGAACAGCTCACAGGCCCCCTTGGGAGGGCGTGACGCGGCCCGCTCAGGCGCTTCCCCGAGGCTGGCAGGCGTCCAGGCACCCGGCGGGCGGGCGGCTCCCTGCGGCAGGGTCTCTGGCTGCTCCTTCCAGCAGGTCGGGGCAGCAGGAGCCACCGTTGTCCCTCCCACCCCTTGCTGGCCGGGGGGCCGTTCCGGCTTTGCCACGTCAGCTCTTCAAGTCCTGGACAAACTGCACAGTGGGCTTCCTGCTTGCACCTGCAGCCTTGCCCCCACCTGCTACGGGGGGTTCAAGGGGACAAGCTCCCCTCTGGAAGGATCGGCCGGCAATGGCACAAGCCCCCACTGAGAGGGGCACAGCAGGGTCAGAGTGCGCGCACAGGCCCCGGGGACGCGTCAGGCACCGCCCGCGAGAAGGCCGGTGGAGGGTTTGGGGACTTGGATCACACGAGGCACAGGACACCCTCTGCCACCCCCAGCCGTGCCGAGGCCCCGGTCCTGGGCGCCCCCCAGGGCTCTCGTGCCGGCCGCCAGCCGTGTGACCCCGCAGACGCGGCAGCGCCAACACGCAGGCCCCGAGGGCTCCCCTCGCTCCGACCCGGCCCCTCCCCGGCTCCTGCGCCCGGGCTGTCCCCTCTGGCTGCTGCCACGCGACGCGCGGGGCCCCTGGCTCCCAGCGGCTGCCCCACCCCGAGCCCTGAGCCCGGGTGGCCCTGCCTCTGCGCACGGGAGATGCCCCCAGCTGGAGAGGCCCGGAAGGGGCCGAGACCCCCGGCCCGTGATCCAACGCGCGTGGCTCACGCCCCCGCGGGCCCTGTGCGTGGAGCGAGGCCCCCTGTGAACACGGGTGTTGTCACAGACAGTCCTTGTCAACGTGAAGGGGAGCGAGAAAGGAGCATTCAGCTCGAGGGCCAGGCGGCCCCAGCTCTGCAAAGCGAGGAGCCCGGCTTACTTCATCAGCTCGGGGTCCTCCTTGTCGTCCTTCGTGGGGGTCACCTTGGCTCCACTTTTCTTGGCACGAGGGCAGCCGGACAAGCTGGTGTGGAAAGGCGAAAGATACAGCCGTGGCCCCAGCACGGCAGCTTCTCCCCGCCGGCCCCGCCCTCCCCTCCCGCCTGGGGTCAGCGGCCCCGGGAGACCCCCGCAGCGGGACAGCTCGGTCCGAAGGCAGCACCCCCCCCGCCCCCGTCGCTGGTGACGCCAGTGCCCCGTGTGGTGGTGTACACCTTCACCTGAGGAGGAGGCCCACCCCTGCCGGCACCCGGGGCGTGGTGGGCTCACCTCCGGTGCGAAGCGTAGTTTCCTGTGATGTGGCCTGAGCCGTCACAGCCGGGCGTGGGGCACCTGCAAGGGACAGGGAGCTGGGACCAGGGCCACAGAGACGCATGGCCACAGAACAGCGCCCTGTGCACTCAACCTCTGCGAGGGCCCGCCCACCCGGCGAGGCCTCACGGCCAGCCTTCTGCCCCGACCTCGCCCCACAGGGCCCAGGGAGGCCAAGGGGAGAGCTCAGCTCGCTGCAAGGAAGCAGGGCTTCGAGCCTGGCCTCCTGCAGGGATTTGGGCTAAGATAGAAGGTTCCAGAACACACACGGGCCTTTGCTTCACACGGGTGGTCAGGGAGGCAGACCTAACACCTGAGACTGTTTGGCTTCAAGGTGTCACGTGCCATGTGAGCACGTGAACACGTTTCCTGAACATCCAAGACACGCCACCCACCACAAGGTCACCGTGGGGAGCATTCTCAGGGAGGGTGGCAGGTGCCGGCAGAGCAGGAAGGAAAAACACAACACACAAAGCCCAACTTTGCCCGCAAAACGACGGACGAGTGTGTCCTGTAGAAGGCGGAAATCCCCCTTCCGTGGACGCACGTGGGCCGTCTAGGCTCTCCTTCCCTGACTGTCCACGGGGGAAGTGCGTGTTCCCACCACTGCCCGAGCCGGAGCTGCGCCGCCTCCGCAGGAAGCCCCGCCACAGCCGGCCGCGCGTCGTGCCTCATCCCTCGTGGGGGCGCGGCCCCGACCCCAGGGGCTGACCACGCAGCCCGCGGCGTTTGCATCTGGAGAGCCGGTTGCTCACAGCACGCCCTCACACACAGAGAACTGGGGGGCCCAGAGAGGCCCCAAGAGGGTTAGGGGCGAGCGCCCACAGGAATGGCACACGGGCCATCAGCAGAGGGGCCCCGGTCCCTGCACTGGGCACAAGGCCCCGCCCCAGAGCCCCTGCACCGGCACACGCAGTGGCCGGCGTCAGGCCACCGGGGACCGCAGGCCGGCCCCCCCGCCCCCACCAGGCTGGCAGGCCACACGGGGCGTCGACGCCCGGGGCCTCCTCTGGCCTCTCCCAGCCAGCTCCTTCTCTGGAGAGTCCCGGGGCCCCACACCCAAAGCCTCCCTGGCGGGACAGCTGACCACCTGGTCCAGCCGCCCTCTGGCCAGACCCCACTGGGGCTGCAATGGCTCCTGACGGGTCACACGTGGTCACGTTTCACCCACGCACATCTGAGACACGGAGGGTTCTCATTTCCACGGGGGCCACCCCCACCTCCACCTCGGCAGCGGCTGCGGCAGTCCCACTGTGCCGCGGCGCGTCTGCGCCGTCCCCGGCCCCCGGCGCCAGCCCCCCGGCCGCTGCGCACATCAGGGAGGCCCTCCCGCGGCTCTGCGGGGGCCCAGCGCGGGCGCCGCTGCCCCTCGGGTGAGGGCGGCCGGCGGAGCGCAGAGCAGGGCAGGGAGGGCGCAGCCGCGCAGGCGGCCACCTGGGGCCCTGCTCCCTCTCGGCCTCCGCCCAGTGACCGCCGCGCAGCCCGGGGCGGCGGGCGGCGGCCCAGGGACACGCCCGATGTGCAGCCCCCGACGGGGCTGGGCCTGGGGCAGCGGGGCCGCTCCCGGAGGACACAGGGCGGGCGGGCCCGCACCCCAGGGTCCCACCGAGGCGCACCCACCCGGGGCGGCGGGGGCTGCCCCGCCGTCCTTGTCGAGACATCGCTCAGCAGCTTTTCCCAGGGCCGGTCCCAGCCCCCGCCCCACGGGCCGCGAAAGGGAAGAGCAATGTAATTACGACTCAGAACCCCCTCACACAAGACGGCTGCTGCGCCTGCGCCAGCGGAGCCTCGTCACAAGGCGGTGGCGTGGGTGTCTGCCCGCGGATGGCCCACCAGAGCCCGTCCCTGCCCCGGGGCTGGTCGGAAGCAGCCCGCTGAGGAGCCGGGCGCAGACAGGGGAGTGTCCGGCCCCTCACCCAAGCCCACGCTGGGCCTGCGCGGGGCCCGGACTCAGCTGCCTCCCGAGGGCTGAGCGCCGACTTGTGCTCACGCAGGGAACACTCTTTGCTGCTGTTTGTGAATATGTTTGGGGTGAAAGCTCCCCCCAGGGTGGGGGTCTGAGGGGGAGCCTCCCCTCCCCACACGGCCTCGCCCTGGCCGTTTCCCGCCCGGCCGCGCCGAGCCCACGCGGTCACCCCCGCGGCGTCCAGCCTGGGGATTCACAAACACTGATCACAGGCCACGGAAACAGAAGAGTTGGGCAGAAGACGGGAGGAAGGGGTGTGAGGACAGCAGAAGGGCGGGGAAGCGGGGAGGCTGAGGCAGAGGGTTGAGCTGGTTTTCTGGGCTGGACGCAGGGACCAGTCCCGAAGGGCGGAGCCTCCGGGAACCCACGTCACAGCCGTGAGTCCCAGCAAGACCCTCCAGGGTTGCACCCGCCCGGCCCGGCTGCCAGGGCAGACGTGCCCTCTGAGCTTTCCGCCCTGCCTCTAAGTCAGCTCAGGTCCCAGGACCCCTCCGCTGCCCCCTCAGAGGCTCCTGGGTGGGGGCTTGTCCGGATTCAGAGCCTCCCAACCCAGAGGCCCGGGGAGCGAGGAGTAGCCCCGGTGACAGGGGCCTGGGGGCTTAAGTGGGGCCCCCTTCTCCCACCCGGGCTCAGCGGGGAGCCCGGGGCCCGCGGGGCTCAGCTCAGCCGAAGGCACGAAAACCAAAGGCAAGGACTGTCCCGACTCCTGCCCCGAGAGGCACCGGTTCCCAGGAAACCGCAGGGTGTGCGCAGCTCATCTGAGCTGGACCGTGCAGCGGGCGCCGGTGCCCCGGGGCCGGTCATGTCCTGCCAGCGGGGCCGCTGGGGGCAGGGAGGAGCAGAAGCAGAAGGAGGCAGCTGGGGAGAGCAGGAGCCAGGAGGGGAGGCGAGGCACCCCTGGGGCCGCACGGGCCGAGGCCCTGCCGCCGGAGGGGTGGCCGAGAAGCGGGCACACAGCTGCCCTCCACCGGCGGCATCCCCCACACTGAGCACGAGCTGCGCAGCCGGCACCCGCCGCACGAGGCGCACGAGGCACGGCCAGTCCCGGGCTCTCGCAGCCCCGAGTGCCAGGAGGGAGCAGGGCCCGTTGAGGCCTCAGAGCCGCAAGAGCACGGTCCTGCCACCCGGGCCCCGAGAAGCCGGCAGGGCGCCGGCAGCGGCCCTGGCAGGGGGACAGACAGACAGCAGCGCTCAGAGCGGGGAGGCTCAAGCAGCAGCGGCCCCAGCCAAGCAGAACCGGCCCCTCCGCCAGCTGCGGGGCCGGCCGGGGCCTGGCGCCCCAGAGAGGGCCGGTCCGGGCTGGAGCCTCGCGAAGGGACAGCAGAGCCAGGGAGCCACCCAAGAGACGGGCGGCCCGGAGGGCAGACATACTTGAGGTCAGCAGAGTGGGCAGCCATGAGGTTTCTGAGGCTCTTGTCAGCAAGAGGGCAACCAGAGAGGCTGAAAGAGAAGAGAGGGGGTGAGCCGAAGAGGGGAGCAGAGCAGGAGAGGAGGGAGGCCCGCCGCGCAGCACCCCGGCCAGGCCGGCCCGAGCGGGGACGAACCTGCGGTGGGAGGCATAGTTCCCGGTGATGTGGCCGCTGCCGTCACAGCCGGGGGTGGGACAGCTGGACAAAGGAAACAGAGCGTCAGCAGAGAGAGGCCTGCCCGGCCCAGCCTGCGGGGCAACGGCAGCGGCGCCCACTCCGGAATCTCCCACGGGCCAAGGGGCGACGCCCCTCGTCCCTCACAGCTCCACCGCAGCCTCGGGAGGCAGCTCCCCCACACAGCTCGACTCAGGAAGGAGAAGGGAAGCACGTCAGAGCTCGGCTTGAAGGCAGGGTGCCGCTGGAGCGCACAGGTCGCGCGCTCGCAAGTGGGAGCCCGAGAACATGCGGGAGTCCCTTCCTGGAGCACATGGCCTTCCCTGAGGACAAGGCCCAGGCCAGAGCCGGGGCCTGGCCGTCCTGGGGAGCCAGCGACAGAGCAGGAGGTTCAGGGCAAGAAGAGGGCACCCGGCTCCCGGGCCGCAGGTGAAGGCTCGCGCAGGCCTTCGGGGGCGGGGGGCGGGGGTGGCGCTCAGCAGGGGTCGACCAGAAGGCTGCGGGGTGGGCTCGACCACTGACAGCTGCCCCGCTCACGCCAACGCCCGGCCAGCCCTCTAAGGACGAGCTCGAGGAGCTGGCCAGGCTGCCGGAGCGGAGGGCCCAGCGTGGCCCACGGCAGCCCGCTGTGGCCGGGAGAGGCCGGTCCCCTCAGCCCCTGCCTGCTGGGTGGGTCAGACGGGGGCTCCCCCTCATCCTTAGCCGTGTTGGGGTGCATGTGAGAGCCCAACGCAGTGCGGAGGAGGCAGGGGGCCTGTCCCCACTGCCCGGTGGGGCGGCTCCAGCGAGGGACGCCCAGCCCTGCCCACCGAGGGCTGCGGGAGCCCAGACAGCCGGTACCCCGGGCGCCCCCAAGCCACGCGGCTCCCCAGGCCGCGCAGCTTCTCTGAGGGGTCCCGTCGGCCCAGGCGGGGACTTACGTGAGCAGCTCCTTCTTTATGTCCTTGGAGAGGAACTTCAGCTTAAAGTTGGTCAGGGTGACTTCCCCGGGGTACTTCCGCTCCTCAAAACTCTCTTCCGACACTTCCTGGTCATCTGCTTCAGAAGAAGCAAAAGAATGGGCTGCTGGCTCTGACTGCAAAAAACCAGCAGGGAGAGGTTTTAGCCGCTGGCGGGCCGGGCGCCCGACCCGGGGCGGAGGAGAGGGACCCTTCAGAGCGTGGCCTCGCAGGCGGTGCCTGGCGTCTCCTGCCTCCTGGATTAGGGAGGAAGGTGCCCGCCCCCCAGGCACAGAAGACAGCACCTCGAGGGGCTGGGGCACCCCCACCTCCGCCAGAGCTGCCCCAGCGACGGGGGCCTCCTGACACCCCATGGCCGCCGGGCCCCTCCTGGACACGGGCGTCGCTGCCGCGGGCGGCTGCCCCGAGGAGGGGCGCTCGGTGCCCGGCACACGGGCGCGACGGGGAGATGGGCACGAGCGGGATAACACGCACGGGACAGCAGGGCCGATGGCCATAGCCTTGCAGCCACCTGGCCCCACCCCCCAACCCCTTGCGATGCCTGGACCACAGCCGGCACTTAATTAGCTTTCTGAACGTGGCTGTGGGTCTGGAGGCGCTCGGCCACCGCCCACGGGCAGGGCGCAGGGACCCCGGGCCGCGGTGGGGCGGCCCCTGCAGGGCAGGAGTGTGCGGCGGTTTCCCCGCACAGACCCCCCCCCTCCGCGCTTCGTCCCGAGCACCCACTCAACCCCCTGGGGCCAGGGCCACCGGGCTGGAGCTGCGGGCGGGACTTGCAGGGCCGGGGCGGAGGCTCCCTGAGGCACGGCCCGGCAGGGGCAGCCGCAGGCCGCCTGCGCCTGAGCCACGTGAAGACGCTGCCCCCCGGCTGGACGGGGCTCCCAGGCCAGAGCGACCCCCGCGGCCCGGAGACGCGGGGACACGGGCGGAGGCGGGGCCGCTGGGCTCGGGCGGCGAGGCTGCATGGGGGTGGCCGCCTGCCCGGCGCGGGCAGGGCTGGAGGGGGGTCTGGGTCGGGGCCCAGGGCCCGGACACAGGGCCCCAGAGAGCCTGGCTTGGGAGGTGTCGCTAGGGTGACCCAGTGCCCGGGGTGTGGGACCCCCACGGAGAGGCCGAGGAGGGGGGACTGGGCCTGGGCGAGTGTGAGGCTTCTGCGGGGCTGGGCTGCGTCTGCAGGGGAGGGTGGGGACAGGCGTTAGTGGGCGGGAAGCACAGGGCCTCTGGGCCTGGGTCACCCCACCGGGGCCCAAGGACGAGGACAGCCCCGGGAGGGGACGAGGGTGCCAGGGAGAAGGGCAGGGGCAGGGCGGTCCAGGGAGGGGCACCCGCCCGAGCTGGGGGCCACTAGGGGCGAGGTCGCCAGGGAAAGGGGTGCAGCTCCACCCGGGGGCAGGGCAGGCAAAGGGGCGAGCGAGGATGCGGGGCCCCCACCTGCACCGGCAGCCCCCAGAGGAGGGCCCCTCCCGGCCGCGGACGGGGCTCCACCACCCGCAGGTAGGCCGGCTGCCCTCCCCTCTGGGCTCCGCCTCGGGGCGCCCTCGCCTGCGGCCCGACGCCCCGTGACAGCCCGTGACTGAGCCGCGACCTCAGCCAGGGGCCGGCGGCTCCTCCGCTGGGGCAGGGGGAAGGCGGGGCGGTCGCAGGGTGGAGGGAGCCCGGTGCCCGAGCAGCGCAGAGCCGCCGAGGGGCGGGTCCTCAGAGGGAGTCCTCCCAGCCACCTCCTCCTCCGCGAAGACCTGATTGCCCTCCGGGTGTGTGTGAGGGGGAGGCTGGCAAGGACCCCGAAGGAGCCCGGGGACCTCCGGCCTGCGACCCCCTGAGCTGGGCCCGCTGTTCGGGACACACGGCCCTTCGGGAAAAGCCCTCCCTCGGCTCCCAGGGGGCGGAGGGCCTGGGCAGGGACTGCCCGCCGTCCCCAGGCCGCGCCCCCGCGGAGACGCCAGCTGTGTGCTCTTCGCCGGGGGCACTCGTCCTGGGACTCGGGCCACTGCTGCCGGGGGCCCCCGAGGCCAGGGGTCCCATGCGGCCTGTAGCCGGGGTGGCTGGGAGCAGCCTGAGGCCATGGGAAGGGCCGCTGCTGGGGCTCCGGGTGTCCCCATTTGGTGGGAGGCCCACAAAACCAGGGACTTCAGGGCTACCCCTGAGCCATGCCCTGGGGGGTCTGAAAGAAGCCATCTCCTCCCCTGGGGACTGACGAGTCCTCGGAGAGAGGAGATCATCCCCCAGACGAGACCAGGACATCGCACTGCCCAGCAGGGAAAGCCCCCCGCAGAGGTTTTCCGGGCTGCGTCCTGGCTGCGCGGAGGGGACGCCCTGTGTGCCAAGGGGCGGGGCCCCGGAAACTCTGCCCAGAGAAGCAGCCCTTGGCGCGGCACCTACCTCCTCGGGCTCCTCCTCTCGCTGGCGGCTGGGCTTGGTGTAGTCCAGGGGCCGGTCCCACTCCTCCTGGCGGGACGCCTGGCTGGCCTGGGACGAGGTCATGGAGCTGCCGGGGGCGCTGGCGCTGCTCTGGCGCTGGGAGGCGTCAGGAGACCTCACCCCCGGGCTGCCGCCACCGCCGCCGCCGCCGCCGCCGCCGCCACCGCCGCCGCCGCCGGGGAACGCGCTCTCCCGCCTGCGGTGCTTGCGCATGCTCAGGTCCAGGGTCCCGTTTTCATCCACCGCGATGTCCGCAGCCTGCAACGCAGAGGCGCCAGCTGCGTCCGGGACCCGCCCTCCCAGCGGGCGGTGGTCGAGGCGGCGTCGCAGAGGCCCCGTGAGCACGCGTGCCCTCGAAGGGACGCAGAGCCCAGCCGCGCGGAAGAGCCTCCGGGAGGCGAGTTGTGGAACCTACGTGGGGGAGACGCTGCCTCCCTCCTTCCCGTCCCCAGGCCACAGGCCAGACCCCTGAGGGCGTGAGCTCGGTCAGAGGGAACATGGGCACGACCCTCAGACGCAGGGAGACACGGGGGAACACGCATGAACACAGCCATGTGCCCTCGTAGGCCCAGCACACGGCTCTCAGAGGCTCCCTCCGAGCTCCCCGGTCCCCGGGGGCCAGGGCTGGGGCAGACATGTGAGGGTGAGCCTCCCCGGAGACGCTGCGCGCCCGCCCGTGGCCGTGACTGTTCCCTGCGGGGGACTCGCCGACCTTGCCGGGCACATCCTGCGGCTTTGTGCTGAGGTTCTCAGGCATCTCCCAGCAGCGTGTGGAGAGGTTCAGGATGGCGGTGGCGGCCATGTGTGCGGCCTCGGCGTCGTGGGCGTAGTCGAAGCCTGCGGAGGGGGATGGGGAGCAGCAGCTAAGCCTGGGGGGCGAGGCCTTTGGGAAAGGCTTGGCGGCAAGAAGGGAACACGCCAGGCTGAGGCCCGCCCGGCGCGGCAGGCGGCTCACAGACACGGGGCTGGGGCGGCGGGGCGCACGGGCGCAGCTGCGGGGCAGGGGGCTTGGGGCTCACCTGCACCCACCCCCGCCTTCACCTTCCTGCCTGGGGTTGAGGAGGCTATATCTGGCCTCACCAAAATTTGTGCAGAAAGAGCAAAACCCTTCAAAGACATTCCAGCATCCCTGATGTTTCAAACAAAAACAGGTTGTCCACCGGTGAATGGTCTCCAAAAGACTAAAGGATTCTGCCCTGGCAGGTGTGGCTCAGTGGACTGAGCGCCCACCTGCAAACCAAAAGGTCGCAGGTTCAATCCCCAGTCAGGGCACAGGCCTGGGCTGCAGGCCAAGTCCCCAGCAGGGGGCGCACAAGAGGCAACCACACATGGATGTTCCTCTCCCTCCCATCCTCGCTCTCTAAAAATAAAAAAATAAAATCTTTTAAAAAATTTTTTTATAAAAAGAGACTAAAGAATTCTGAAAACAGGATGCATGTTTGGAATATCGTCCAAACAGGAAAACTGAATCAAACTTCTCAACAGGCTGACTTTGCTGTCCCTGCTTTAACACGTGACATTACTGTTCAAATAAACACAAGGCATAAAATGTCATCTTCTCTGGTAATTGTGCCGTAGCCATAAAACCACTCTAAGGTATGAGAGTTCCACAACACCCTCCACCAATTTCCAGGCCTCCGGAAGGGGCTGGGGTTGGCGGGCAGCGCCCTCGGGCCTACAGCGACACAGCCGGCAACTGTGCCAGCCGGGCCTTCTGTGGTTAACGTGTGGGAACCTCCTCCCTGCCGCCCCTGGGGGCCGGCGCCCACCGGGAGATGCCAGTTCCAATCCCGGGTCTGGTGCGGGGGGACACGCTTCCCCGTTTCATGTGCACTTCCAGGGCGAACAGGCTGGCAGCCCACAAACTAGAGTAATGAGTGACAGAAGGATTGTTCCCGAAGGTTCATTTTTGTTAGTAGGAGCACCCGGAAAATATGTTGCTAGTATCACAAATAGCACATTGAATCTGGCAAGATGGTCCCCTGGTGGGTGCCAGGCTCCGCCCGGGCTGCCTGACCCGCCCCCGGCCCCCACAGGCACAGGCTGCCCGTGGGGTCCCTGAGTCCCGACCCCCGGGCTGGGAGCAGGAGGCCCAGAGCGGGCGCTTGCCCAGCCGCACTTGGCCGGGAAGCCATTCCTAAGCCTTTGGGCACACACACCGCAGGGGGCCTGGCTTTGTCTCACAGCAGCAAGGGGTCGCGTGGAGCCTGGTGGCAAACAGGACGCGGGGCCTGGGACAGTGAGGGCCCGTCCCGTCCATCAGCCCCCAGGCCGAACGGCCAGGGCCCCTCCTCCACCGTCCCCACCCCACACCTCCCAGGAGCAAGTCCCCCACTTACATTTAAAGGCTTTAGGTGAGGTTTCGCTGGTCTGAATCTTTGGGGCAAGCATGCGTTTGCCAAAAACCTGAGCATCAAAACTTGCGTAGTCGAAGGTGACCTTGGAGAACTTCTCCAGCTCCTTGGCCAGGTTGGCCCTGGGCGTGGCAGGGGCCACGCTGGGCCGGTAGCTTCCGTACGGAGGGACCTCGAGCTGCTTCACGAAGCACATAGGTCTGGAGGGCCGGGCCGATGCAGAGCCGTGAGGACGGGACGCAGGGACCCCGCACTCTGCACCCCATCGCCGGCACAGGGGCCCGCAGAGCCCTGTGGGGACAGGCCGCCGGGGAGACCGCCCCCCGTGCCCCAGCCCGAACGGGAGCTGGGGCCTGGTCTGAGGGGGGAGGAGGGCGTGACCCCTCGCGGACAGCATGGCGGGGGGGGGGCCTGAGACCCTCCCCCAGGACTCAGGAGAGCAGGTTCCCACAGCCCGGCTGCCTCGGCCGGGAGGGGGTGGGGGACGGGTCCCGGAAGGTTCCCAAGAACCAGGACGCAGCTCCTCACGCAGCCACCGCGCAGGGTCAGGGACAGGCCGAGACCACTGCCAGCGTTGCGTTCCTCGTTACTGAAGCTCTTGGAAGAGCTCAAATGCTTAAGTGCACAAGCGGTGGCGTGAGACCCCAGGCCAGGAAGACCACCCAGGAGGAGGCTGCCGGCCGCGCCGGCAGGGCAGGGAGGGGCTTCGGTGCCGTCACTCAGTGGGAAGGGAGAGAAAGGAACACAGGGGACCCTCCCGCCGTGGATGGGGGCAGCCGCCCCAGACCCACCTGAGGATCCGGTCTGAATTGGAGCCAGTCTTGGAAGGATCTCCCGTCTGTGGCTGTTGCTTCTCGTGAGACTTGGCTAATTTTTCTGCAGCCGCGATGGGACACCCGGACAAACTAGGGAAGGGCGGGGGCAGCTGAAGCCTCTGGTGGGCCCGCCTGTTGGGCCGGGGACACGGGCAGGGCCATGGGCCCCGGGAGCCACCGCGCCTCCAGAGCCGGGACCTCCCGGGCGCGCTGCGCCCCAGCCCTCAGGTGGTTTGTGGGGGCCGTTCTAAGCCAGCGGCACCTGGGGGTCTGTCCCGATCTCACGCCAGCCCTGCAGGACCAGGACCCCAGAGCCCCCGCCCCGCCCCCGGCGCCGGCGCGGCGCGTACCTTCGGTGCGTGTTTCGGTTGCTGTTCACGTGGCCCTGGCCCGTGCAGCCGGGAGTGGGGCACTTGAGCACGTTCTCGTGCATGGCCAGGACTGAAAGAGAGCGAGCGGGGGGCTGGGGGGAGCACAGCCAGCCCGAGAGCCGCGGCCGCCTAGGACGGGCACAGAGCAACGGGGGGACGGTCCGCGGCCCCGCCCCGCACAAGCCCCCCACAGGGCCCTTGGGCCGAAACCAGCTCAGCCTCCCGACCTCTGGCTGCTCTGTGACTGGCCCCACCAACCTCAAGTTCACAGTTACCGCCTCGGCCCGGAAGCCAGGACGGGCTTCCTGCTGGGCCTTCGGGGTGTGGGGCAGCCCCCCGCAGCCTGTCCGCCCCCGGGGCACCTGCATCCACGGCCGTCTCCCGGGGGCCTGACCCGCATGGTCCTCTCGAGGAGGACGGCCGGGCACCCTCTGTGTCCCCAGACCTGTAGGGCTCGAGTTTGGGCGTCGGGACGGGGCCAACCCCAGGGATGGGGCCCCGAGTGGCCGCTGTCCAAACACCAGAGCCGGCCTGAGGTCTGCGGGGCTACTCACTCTCCGGGGGGATCCTGTCCTTGTGGGGGCACCCAGACAGGCTGCGGTGGTGAGGGTACAGGCCAGTCACGTGCCCGGTGCCGTCACAGCCGGGCGTCGGACACTTGATCTCCCGCTTCTCCGCCCTTGAGGCCTCTAAACAGACACGGCGCGCCGGTCAGAGGCGGCGTGGGAGCCGCGGGGGGCGGAGGGGCCGGGCGCCCCAGGGGAGAGGGGCCGGGGCGGGAGGGCCAGGCGACTCCAGCTGCCTGCCCGGGGCCTGGCCAAACGGCCCCAAACAGCGGGCAGGACGCACAGCGACGCACGGGGCCCAGAGCGCGGCCGGCGCCAGCGCCTCCCCCCGCTGGACTCAGAGTCGGGCGAACGGCCAGGGCCCTGTCCCTCGAGGCCCAGCGTCCGCATAGGGAGGTGGGGGTGATGTGACGAGGCCCCTGCCCGGACGTGCCCTTTGCGGGCGTGACCGAACGAGGGCGACAGAGAAGCAGAGGGACTCGCCCAAAGGCACGTGACTCGCCGGTGCCCGGGTGGGAACTGAGGCTCGGCTCTCGGCCACCGGCCTCACCCAGCCTGTACGCGCCCAGAGAGGTCGCGGGAGCACGCGGGGCCCGAAGGGGTCGCCTGCCGGGACGCGGAGGGTCCCCGGAGCACGGCCTCCGCCCTGAGAAGCCCGCAGGAGGGGCCGCCCTCTGGGGGCCCCCGGGAGCCCCAGGGCCACGCGCCCAGGGCGGCGGGCGGGCTCGCCGCCCCCTCCGGCACCGGCCCCCCGCGCTGGCCTCCCCCAGGCGCCCGGTCTGCGCCTCAGCCCCACCCCCGGCAGCCTGCGTCGTGGGGTCTGTCGCCGCAGCTCGGCCTCCGCACCGGCCCCTGGCCCCACGCCCTCAGCGCTGTCCTTGAAAGCAGGACACGGCGTCCGGGCCCCTGACGTCCGCCCCACGGGACTGCGTCCCGAGCGCCTGGGACCAGAGCCGTCACTCTGTCTGTGTCTCCGTACCCCCCATACCCCTCTCCAGCCGTGTCCTGCTGACCTGGGACCCCAGGCCCACCCCCAGCCTGAGAGCCCAGCCGCCCCGAGTCTCCGCCCCCTGCCCGTGGGTGTCCTGGTGCCCACGGCCCTGGAGGCCTATGTGGGACCCTGTGCTGGCCCGGCTGTGGGCCCCAAGCTGCTCCCCCTCAAGCCTGCTGCCCCGACAGCCACCCTCAGGTTGAAACAACGTCCACATCCGTGTCCCCTCAGCCGTGTCCCTGAATATCTGCCCCTGAGCCGGAACCACACGCGTGCGTGCTCCCAGAAACTGTGGCCCAGCGTCTCCGCAAGCCGGGGGTCCCCGAGCTATAGCCCACTCAAGCCCCGCCACGACCCGGCGGGTTCCCCGGGCTCTGGCCGAGCCGCTGAGGCCGGCCCCTGCCCCTCCGGCCCCTGCCCTCGGCCCTGCGCCTCCCACGACCCTCTGCGAGCCCGTCGCCTGCGCTTCGAGGACCGGCTCTGCGCCGTGTGCATCTTTGTCCCTGGTCTGCGCCTGCGGCCGCCCCTGGCCCCAAGGGGCCTCGGGGGGAAGTCGGCGTCCCGGGCCGCAGGGCGCAGGCCCGGGGGCAGGACCAGCGCCAGCCCTACCTTTGCCGCCGTAGGTCTTCCGCGCGGCGTCCAGGGGCCGGGCCGCCTTCAGGGGCTCGGCCGAGCCCTGCCCCGCGGGCGCCCCGACGGCGCGCACCTGCTCGGCCTTCAGGGCGATGGCCTGCTCCAGGAGGCCCAGGTTGCCGCGCGTCATCACGTCGTACAGCTCCGAGTCGTCCGTGACCGCGGACGTCGGGGAGCGCGCGTCCTCGTCCGCACCCTCGTCCTCGGAGCGCAGCTCGGCCGTGGCCGAGTCCTCGGGCGGGGGGCGGGGGGCGTGGGCGGCCTGCGGGGCGCCGGCGTGGGGGGCGCCCTCCGGGCAGGGCCCCTCGGGGGTGGCCGCCTCCTCGTCCTCCTCCTCCTCCTCCTCCTCCTCCTCCTCCTCCTCCTCCTCCTCCTCCTCCTCCTCCTCCTCGTCCTCCTCAGGACCCCGGGCGCCTTTCTGCGGGCTGGGCTCCGCGCCGGTCCCACCCTCCAGGGCCGGGGGACACAGCTCCTGGCAGCGCTCGCTGGTGACCTCGACGACTTCCTCCGCGTCCTCGGGCGGGATGAAGATGGCCCTTTCCCCTTCGTCGCTCGTGGCCCCTTCTTCGGCCTCTTCCTGGGCCAGGCGCACGACGCTGGGGCCCGGCTGGGCTCCTTGGCCCGAGCCCTCGCGGACCAGGGTCTCCCCAGCGACCTGGCCCAAGTTCAGGAGAGAGGCGGCGAGGATTTCCTGGTAGCTGCCGTAACCGCCCTTCGGGGGGCCCGCGGGGCTGCCGACGGGGTGGGGTCCAAAGTGGGACTTGGTGGGGCTCCTTCCTGCACAACATAGAAAAGCCACATGGGGGGGCCCCACAGGGAAGGTGGGCGTCCGGGCCGCTGGTCCCGCCCCTCCCCGGCCCGGGACACGAGACCCTCGGAAACGGGGCTCGGGGAGGCCCTGCGGGTCCCCACCTCCGCCTGCACTGGGGTCCCGGCGAGCGCACTCGGGGGGCAGGTGGGGAATGGCTCCTGTATTTTTAAAGCCATGTGGTACTTTCTCAAATCATTTCTCAAAACGGAGCTCAACTATTTAAAAACTCTTTCAAAATCAAAAAACACCAAATAAATGTGTGTGTGTGTGTATTAGGCAGAGAAGAAGGAAGGGAAAAGGAGAGGGAGAGAAACATCCCTGTGTGGTTGCTTCTTGCCCCCCCCCCCCGGCTGGGGGCCTGGCCTGCAGCCCAGGTTGGGCCCCGACTGGGAATCAAACCTTCGACCCTTCGGTTCACAGGCCGGCGCTCAGTCCACGGAGCCGTGCCAGCCGGGGCAGAATTCATACTTATTAAAGGATGTAAATTTAAAGGTTGCAACAGCCACAATGAAAAGGCGTGGTGCTGACCGCACGCCCTGCCTGCGGGCGTCCGCAGGGCTCGGGGGCACAGGAGCTCCCGCCCTCGCGCTCCGGGCCCCACGCAGGGGCTGGCGGCCGACCCGGACACCCTCCTTTGTGAGGAAGCGGCCAAGCGAGCGCTTCCCGCAGTCCGTGCCGGGGGCCGCGCCAGGGTCGGGATGGAGGCGCGTGTGCGGCCCGCCCCCGCTGGCTCCAGCATAAAATTAAAATCCGCCTCGGACCCTGCGAGGTCAGGAGACACCCGGAGCTCAGGGTGCTGGGGGTTGGGACCTCAGGCCTTCCCACCAGCATTTGCTGAGGCCTGGGTGCCGCTCAGGGAAGACGGTGCGCACAGGGGTGCCCCCTGGTCCCCCTCGGTCTCGCCGGACGCCCCGCGGACCCCCGCCCCGCCCGGGCAGCTCTCCCCAGGGCCCAGACACACGGCCGTGTCCGCGCGTCCGCCCGTCCCTCGCGTGCGCCGACACCGCCCGCTGTCACACACAGACGCCCCCACGCGCCCCAGGAAGCCCCGCCAGCGGCAGGACAGGACGTCACTTGTTCTCAGGAAGGGCTTTCTTGGCAGGGGGCCCGCCCGGCTCCCAGGCTGCGACTCTCCGGGGACACACTGAGCGCCCTTTATTCGGAGCAGAAAGAGCCACAGAGCACCTTCAGCTGGCTCGGGGCGATGAATCTCCTCCTGTCCTGGCATCTCGGGCTCGTCCTCCTCCGGGGTCCCTTCCGATTCATCGGAGACAGAGGCGTCCTTCACCTCGGCGTCCTCGCTGCCGTCGCTGTCCACGCCGTAGCCCTCGTCCAGAGCCAGCTTCAGCGGGTGCGACTTCCGCTTGGACGCCAGGTGCGGCGCCTCGCTGCCCTCCAGCTTCCTCTTCTTGGCCAGAGGGCAGCTCTGCAAACTGGGGGAAGGGCACGGGCGCGGCCGCCCCTCAGCACCTCCGGGGCCCCCGCCCCCGCTTCGCGGGCACCTCCTTGCCGCCCCTCCACCTGCAGCCCTGGCAGGGCGGGCTGTTTCAGGTTCTGCGCGAAGGGTCCTGATTGGGCTTCGAGCCGCGTTCCCAGCTGCTCGCAGAAGTCCCCCCGAGCGCAGGCCGGGCGCCCGCTGCTCTGCGCCACGCGCGCCGCGCAGGTCCCCGGGGCCACCGGCTGGTCGACCAGCAGACCCTGCACCCTTCCCCGACCTCTGAACTGGGGGCAGCTGGGGGGGCCCCGAGGTCAAGTGCCCCCCCCCCGGGATGTGCCCCGGGTCTGCTCCGAGCTCTCCTGCCACCTCATGGCGGCCCAACCGGGGCCCCGAGCCCACCCACGGTCACACCCAGCCTTCACTCTGAAGGGCCCTTGGTAGCAGGCCTGGGGGGACGCTGCCGCCAGGGCACACACGGGAGGTCCCAGACCCACAAAATGCCCAGAGTGAGTGACCAGCTCCGACACCCAGCAGCCTGCCCGCCCCGCCAGGGCCCGCGGGGAAGGCCGGGGCCTCCTTACCTCCGGTGCCTGGAGTACTTGCCGCGGATGTGGCCGGCGCCCGTGCACCCCGGGGTGGGGCAGCTGGGGAGACACACAGAGCGGTCACTCGGGGCGGGGCCCCCAGACCCTCACCCTGGGCAGCAGCAGGCGCCTCCGAGGTGCCCCTCTCGAAGCAGCTGCTTGTGGCACTGAAAGCTGGGGAAGCGACTCCCCCACTTAAATACGCGAGCGGCTCCTGGCCGTTTCGCGAGCGCTCCCACTGGGAGGGCCTGCCTGCCCTGGCCTAGCCTTCCAGGGCGGCCCCTCCCGGAAGGTTCCTTTCTCCACAGACAGGCCTTTCCCAGAGCAGGCAAGCGGCCCCCGGGGCTGGAGGCAGACCCTCTGCGGCGCCCCCAGACCCCCGCCCGAGGCGGGCCCGGGGCGCTGCGCGGGCAGGCAGGGCCCTGGGAACACGCAGACGCGGTGGGTCTGGCGGGAGGCAGCCGGCCCGGGGGGAGCCCAGAGGACGGGGACCCAGGAGCGGCTCGGTGGGGGCAGAGCCTCTCGCAGCCTCAGGGCTGGTGAGCCAGCTGGGCGGGGACAGGGGCCCGGGGCTCCTCAGCCTTCACCACCCTCAGTCTCCCCGCAGAACCGAACTGTGGGGAGCTCCGGAAACTTCTGCTTGTGGACGTGGGCCACGCCACCCAACCCGCCCCCCGGGGTAGCGAGGCGTCAGCGTCTGCGGGACACGTCCCCGGGCCGAGGCCCGCAAAGAGCCGCCGTCACGGCACGTCACGCAGCAGCACACGGGTGCACAGCAGGAGGAGGGTCTGTGGGGGGCACCTCCAGGAGGGCGGCCTGAGCGCCTCTCGGGAGTCACCCCAAGGTGCCCCCGCCCACGGCAGGGTGACCGGGTTCTCAGCAGGAGCGACGCCCCGGGGTCAGAGCCCCCGGAGCCCGAGACAGAGTGAGCGCTCGGGCCACTAACCCCGACGGGCCCTGGGCCCAGGAGGGGGCTCCACCGGCCTCCGTCCGACGCCCGGCCTGACCTGCGCAGGCAGCTGCGGGCCCGCGGGCCCGTCGGGGAGAGGGGAGGGACAGTGCGTGGGGGCCGGCGGCGGCCGTGGCGGGCGGGCGGGCTGACGGGACAGCGCCCGCGGCCTCCCTGTTGAGTCGCATTGTCTTTGTGAGAAGCCGGAAGGGGAGAGGAGGGAGGAGGAGGCCCCCCCGCGGTGGATTTCCTCTGCACACACAGAGCGCGGCCCCCGTCCCTGGCCTGCCTGCGCCCGTCTGCGCCCCACACTCGCCTCGCCCTCTCGAGAACTAGCTTTCAGACTTTCCACAAAAGCTCCTTGTTACGGGGGATTTGAAGCTGAGGTCCCAATTAGTCGATTAATCACTGAGCTAATCAGGCAATTAGGTGCCAGCTGCCGGGGAGGCCGGCGGGGTCCTGGCGCCGCCCCAGCGTGTCACCTGCTCCGAGACGCACCTCCGCCCCCGCCCCGTCCGGAGAGGCCCGGCCCCGGCCCCGGCCCGGCCTGTGTGCCTGTGGGCGGCCGCCGAGGGCCCTGAGCACGAGCAGATGGGGCAGATGGGCCCAGACGGAGGCCCCGGGAGGGTGTCTGTCACCTTCCCTCAGCGCGAGGGGAGCCCCCACCAGGCCCGCGGGCTTTCTCTCCAGCCCTCAGCTCCGGCTCTGGAAGCAGGAGGAGCGGGGGGCCCGCTGGTCGCAGTTCCCCTCATCCCGGCCCCCGTGCCACCGCCCTTGAGCCGGCCCGGGGACGGCGGCGGTGCGGGTGACGTGGGTTCGGGGACAAGGGGGCGCAGGGCCCCCAACCCACACAGAGTCCTGCGTGCAATTCAGCTTCAGTTCCTCCGGCCTCACGAGGTGCCTCTCGCACCGCCAGCCGTGAGTTCTCTGCGGTCGCAGTCACTGCTGTGGGGGTCCCCCAGGGACGGGGCGCATCCTGGCTGCCTTATCTGCCCATCCTGTGGCGAGCGTGCCCCCGCGGCGGACGGCGCGCAGAGAGAGCTGAGCCGTGAGCGGCCGCAGGTCACAGGCCCTGTGGCTGCGGCGGGAGCGGCTCGCGTCCCGGGGGGCGGGGCGGTGCACACGTCTGACCCCTTGGCACCGTCGGCAGGCAGTCACGGGGACGCCAGGTGTCCATGACCCGTCCCTGGTTTCTTTCTGCACGAAAAGCTGTGCGGGCCTCACGGCTCCAAGTCCACAGGTGGGCCCGTGATGCCAGCGACGGTGGAGCGAACGCAGCGTCCACACAGCGCCTCACTGATGTTGGCTGGGCCTCGCGTACCATATTTCAAAGCGGATCTCTTTTGAGAGTCATTTTTGCTTCCTGTTTCAAAGTTGCGAGAGAACGCCCAGCCCTTTGGGTTTGCCTTTCCAACTTCTTCCACAGCCTCGCCTGTTGCCAAAGTCCATTGCCATCGGCAAAGCCGGGGCTTCCCCGAGCACTGTGCCCCGCATCCTCTCCTCACTCTCTCCAGGATGGCCCCGCGTGGATGTCCCATGGCCCCGGCAAGGGAGTGGCGGCTCCTCCCGGAAAGTCGGGCCTTCGGAGGGCCCCGCGGCGTCTCTCCGTGGGGCTGGTGTGGCGGCCGCCCGCCCTCACCCCTCCCGCCCTGTGACCCTCAGTGCCCCCACTTCACAAATGGGACCATAACACCAGCAGGCAGAGCTTCCGCGAGGATCCCCAACACCTAGACAGCGTCATGCAGCCACCGCGGAGCCTGTCCTGCCGGGCTCGGCAACCCCCGCCTCCCCCACCCCGTCTTCCCTCCCGGCTCCGTCACAGCCTCAGAGCGAGAGAGACTCTTGGATGTTTTGGGGTCCTCCCATTCTCCAGGTTGGCAAAAGACCATCCTTCAACAGCCGTCTGCAGAAGGAAATGGTCCCGACCCCTGGTGTGTTCTCAGAGGTTCTAGTGAGAACCTCTGCCCCTAAGAACGAAGTGCTGGGCGGGCCCTGGGACCCCGCGGCTGCAGGGGAGCCGGCCCGGGAACGGGCGCTCCGGTCCTCGGGAGCGGGGGCCTGTCTCTCCGCCTGGGTCTGGGAGCCCACAGAGACGCCCAGCATGACACTGCTGTCACCCGGCCCCTCCGTGCGGGCACCTCGTGCTACGGCCACCCCGCTGTCTCAGGGGTCAGGCGCCTGGTGTCCCCAGCTCCAGAGCCGCTGTGGGGCAGGGCCCCCACCCGTCCAGGAGGAGCCTGGGCCGACTCTCTCCTGGGGACCTCGTGGCAATTGAAGGGGGCACCAAGGCCCACGTGGCCTATCGGGGGCCCTCAGCCAGCATCCCCCCGTCTTCCGTGTGTGGAGCCAGCACTGCCACCCTTCCGAAAAGCGGGCCAGGGGCCGCTCTCCTTTGCCAGCTACTGGACACCCTGCACCCCCGTTCTGGTTGAGAAGAGGGACCAGGCTGGCACCGGACGCACAAGGAGCCCAGGCCCGCAGAGTCCCCGTCCGCAGGCCGTGGGCGTGGTGACACCCGGTGGGCTCCCCTCGGTCCATCATCCCCCGCCCGGCGACTCTCACCAAGCCCGGGGCAGAGCCAGCAGGCGCGCGGCGGTCGGCCTCCGCGGCGGCACTGGCCTCCCCCGCTCGCACCTGCCCCTGGCTGTGGCGGGCCGTCCTCCCTTCCTCCTCAGGACGCTCGTCCCCAGAGATGAGGCCTGGAAGCGGCAGGGCCACCAGCACACAAAACCAAAGACTCGGGACCGGGAACAGCCTGTTCCACCTCCGGCCAAACATGGCCTCAGGCCGCCCAGCGCAGAAGCCTGGGTGACAGCCCCCTCAGCGGCCCTTTGTTGCTGGCTGGGGCCCCGGGGACAACAGGTGCTGGTGGCAGCCAGGTGCGCACCTGTCCGCGCCCCAGCGGAGGCCGGCGGCGGGGTGCGGCCGGGGCAGAGGCAGGTGCCGGCCACTGACAGGTGGCAGAGCGGGCGGGGCCTCGTTAGGGAAACAGGCCCCGGGCGCCGTGGCCAATCCCAAGCCCCCAGAGCGGGCCCCAGACCCGACCGTGCCCGGTGCTAGCAGGAAGCGGTCCTTACCTGAGGTCGGCACCTGCGGGCTCTGGGGGCGCTGGTGGGGGGAGAGAGAGAGACGGGGAGTCAGAGCGAGGCAGGCACGTGGAGGGAGGTGCAGCGGCCCCGCTGGGAGTGTGAGCCCCGCCCTCTGCTGACCCGCCGGCCCCAGGCCTGAGCGGGCGCACTGCGTCCTCCCAGCGTGGGGGCCGGTGGCCCTGCGGGACACGGAGGCCGCCCTGACAGGGGCCCTCCCAGCCAGGCCGGTCTCTCTCTAACTGCACAGAGAAGCTGGTTTCTGGTGGGAAACCTGACCCGGCCGGTAAAGCCGCACAGGAGGGCGGCAGGTGGGCCGAGCGCCCCCGCCAGGGTCCGCCCCGGCTGAGGGGCGGGCTCAGTCCCTGCAGGGCCGATGCCTCCTGGGAGGCGGGGGCTCGTGAGGCAAGGCCGGCGGCCTGCCGCCCCCCAACACCCCGCCCCGTGCAGCCGTGTTGGCCTCCCCGTCCCAGCACGCGAGCCCCACAGCTGCCTTCGGGCAGCCGGGGGCCAGTGCAGGGAGGGCCCGGCCGGGGGCCCCGTCCTCCTGAGGACGCAGGAGGGAAAGGGACGTCCGCAGCTTTGGGGCGTCTACGCTGGGGCTGCGGACAGAGCGGGATGGGGCGGGGGCACCCACCTCGCGGGGCCTTGGACCGCGTGCGAGTTCGCTTGTCCTCTTTCTCCAAGCTCATCTGCAACGAGAAACAACGGCCACGTTAACAGGAAGTCAGGGCTGCCGGGACTGCCCGCCGAGCTCCCGCGCCCGCCTGGCGGCGGGGGGCACATCTGTGACACAGAAGGGCAGCCGTGGTCCCCGTTCCTGCGCCTGCCCCACGCCCACCCGGGGAGGATGAGGCCACCCCACCCACCGCCGACGCAGACCCCACGGCGCCCCTGGGCCCGGCTGCCCCCGGGAGGTAATGTGAGGGTCACCCTGTTAGGAACAGGTGGCTGGGACACCAATGGGCCTCCAGGAAGCGTCCAGAGGTGGGACAGCTTCCAACAGCCCCAGGAGAGGTAGCCTGAGCTCAGGGACCCTCCCCGACGTGGGCAAGGGCCCCGCCGCGCACACCACTGGGAACGCGGCAACGGTGTAAACAGAAACAGCCAAAACTAATTTTACTAGCACACGTCCTCAGCCGGATCTGTCCAAGACACATGGCTCCAACAACAACCCACGCAACCGCACGAGCGGGGGCCGCCCCGCGGGAACACTGAGGAACCTCGCCCGCGTCCCGGCTCCTGGCACGTCAGGGTCTGACCAGCCACGTCAGGGTCTGACCAGCCACGCGCCCAGGGCTGTGCGACTCTCGTGGCAGGAGGCGTGTTGGCGAGAGCCAGGCCCAGGCACGGACGGAGGCCAATGGGCCGCCGGGCCCTCCGCCACCCTCGAGGGGCCACTCCTCCCGGGACACAGGCAGCGGTGCTTCCCAGGGGCCCCCTCCAGGGCCCGCTAGGGACCCCACCCACCAGTAGCCCCTACGCCGACCCACTCCGCCCCCCAGGGAGTCGAGGGCAAGCCCCCAGGAGCCACAGGGCATCGCCCCAGACCCTCGGCCCGTGTCGTCCAGGCAGGCGGTGGGCGGAGGGCGGGGGCCCCTGTGTGTCCCCTCAGCAGAGAGGCCTGTGCCCGCACCCCAACCCCAGCAGGGCCGGGCTCGCCACCTGTCCCCGTGGCCCAGAAGAGGAGCACGCAGTCCCAGCAGCCTCAGGCCACCGCGAGGCCCCGGGGGAAGACGTGGGGACACCCCGGGTCCGTGCGGTGCAGTTTGCAGAGCGAACCCCCCGCAGGCGGCACCGATGACAAGCCGTGTGACTTGTTAAAAAGGAAAATCCAAACCTTGGGTAACCCGTGCGGCGGTCGCTCGCGGAGCCGCAGAGTCCGAGCTGCACCCGCAGCAGCCGACCCACAGCGGGAGACAGGGCCTTAGCTTCTGTTCTGTAAGGAGGTCCCCTGTGGATTAACGGCTCCCATTGAACACCAGAGAGGGCGGGGTCAAAGGCCGAGCCTCCAGACCCATCTCCCTTCCCTCTGCACCTGGGGTCCGCAGCGCCCGCCTCCCGGGCCGGGCACACGGAGGTGCTGGTGCGGCTGATTGCCGGGCGCAGGCCTGCTCGCCGCTGAAAGGCCATCTGCGGCCCCTCCCTCGTCAGGTTCCCCAAGGGAACTGGCGTGCCCTGGCGATTTGGGTTCCTGCAGATAAACTACTCGAGGAGCCAGGAGCAGAGGGGGAGGCAGGGTGGGCCGCGGCGCCGCCCGCAAACTGCGAGCCCTCAGCCGGGAACCTTCCACTTGCAACTGCTCCGCGTCAGACGGTGAGTTCTCGGGGTGTGCAGCTCTGATTTTAGGAGGAGGAACCGCCCCACGGGGCGAGAGGCGGGTTAGCTCTTTACCGTGAGAGTGAATTTGCGTGCACGGGGGACCTGCGGCAGCACCGACAAGGCAGGGTCCCAAGCTCTTCCGAAGAGGCGTCCCCGGCCCCCTGGAGCCCTGAGCGAGGCTGCGATTGAGCCCCAAGCCCTGGAGAGCGCGGACGCTTCAGTGGCGGGCTCGCCGCTGCCCTCGAGCCCTGGACGTTGCTGCTCCCCGGCACCGCCCCGCAGCCCCACCCTGCAGAGGCATGGAGGCGTGTCCCAGTTTTTCACTCATCGGTTGTTAAAAATCCTCCACTTGTTCCAAGCACGAACCCATCGAGGCCCTGTTTTCCTGCAGCCCAGACAACGGAACGGCACCCTGCCTTAAGCACGAAAAGACCCCCTTGCCCCTCTGTCCCGGGGCCAGGAGTCCCCTCAGGGCACGGCCCGGGTTTCTGCCTCGAGGGGCGTCCCACGCTCCCCTGTGCTCCCGGCCTGCCCGGAGCCCTGGAGAGGGTCCCCGAGTTCTGCCTCCAATGGAGAACGAGGCAGGAGAGTGATCCACACGTGCAGGCGCAGCCCCTGGTCTGCTGGGCCTCAGGGGCCTCGACTCAGCGCCACCGTTTCCGCGGGGTCCCCAGCTCCAGGTCCGCCCCCGTGTTCAGGGACTCCGGGGTGGGCTCTGGACGCTGCCCCTCCCTGCCCCTCTCTGCTCCTCGCTCACCCCCACCCCAGCCTCTCTCCTGCTTTCACACCTTTCTACTCGGCTCTTCCCCAGTGACCTGCCTCCCTGAGCCCTGCAGGGTGTCCTGGCTGGAGCAGCACCGCCCGAGGCCCTGAGGGTCCCGGCTCCAGGAAAAGGGGGCCAGGGCGCGCTCAGGCGGGGCCTTGGCGCGAGGGCAGCCTCTGAACTGGGGACCCCGGAGGCCTTCCAGGCCGTCTCGGGGCAGGCGGCGCCCAGAGCCGGGTGTGCGCCTCTCAGCAGCCAGGCCTGTGCCTGCCCCCCCGCCAGGGGCGGCGCTTCCCTCACGGCCCCCGATTCCAACCGAAAGAAGCCCACTCGCTCCCCTCGCGGGTCGCTGTGTCCTGCAGAGCGAGGGGCCGCGGCCTCGTTCACTGCTCAGCACACATGGCGTGAGGACGGGCGGATGGACAGCCACGAGGGGACAGGCAGAAAGGTCTCTGAGGGCCTGGACCGGGCCACGGGGGTGCTCGCCCGGCCCCGCGCTGCAGGAGGAGACAGGTTAGTGCTTCGTTTATTCAGAATTCGTTCCAACAGCGCGCGGGACGGAACGGGCTTGGGGCGATCGTTCACACCCACAGGAGATGGGTAACAGTGTCCCCGGGGCAGATGAGAGGAGGGCAGCATCGCTGACCCCCAGGAGGCCCCAGGCCACCCACCTCCGGGCAGGGGCGCCCTGGCGTGAGGAGGGCAGGGGGACACCCACAACTGGCTGTCACCGCCCTGTTGGCTCCGAAGCACCCGCCCGGTGTCACCTTTCTCTGGGGCAGGGTGACGGTCCGGGCCCGCTCTGCTCTCTCGCTGTCCAGCGAGGGCTGCGCCTGCTCGCACGGGCGGACGGCACCGCAGCCGCCCCCGTCCCGAGCTCTACTCGGGACTTCGGGGCAGCATCCCGGGATGTTCCTGGCCCCCCTCCCATGGGATCCTTCAACCCCCGCCACGGCACGGGCTCCCCGCTTCCCTTCCTCTGCGCGCCTGCGCGGCCGCGGTCGGCCCCCCAGCGGCCAGGGCTTCTGAGACGGGCAGGCCCTGCTGCCTCCGAACCCCCAGCAGGCGCCCGGCTTCCCAGCCCCCGATCTCGGAGGCCAAAGCCTTGCCCGCCCCCCGGCGCCCTGGACGGCCATCCCAGCGCCCGGGGCCCTGCGGTGACAGCACTGCCCTCCCCCGGGCGCCCCACTGCGCATCCGGCGCTCTCCTGGCGGCCCCCCGCTGTTCGACCTCCTGGCAGCCGGAGGGACCAGCCTTCCTCGGGGCTGCGGGAAGGACACCCACGGAGCACTTGCCACGCGCGTCCTGGGGAGGGTTCTCCTGACGCCTCTGAGCAGGGGCCACGGCTCCCTCCAACCCCGAGTTAAAAACCACAGCTGCGCAGTGACCCCAACAGAGTGGCCATGTCTGAGCCCCCCTGCTGGACACTCCGCCCGCCCAGAGGCAGGGATCGGCGCACCAGGCGAGGCCGCACCGCCCTCCCCCGTCGGGGCCCGGGTCACGGCAGGAGGAGGGCCTGGCCGACTCTCGCCTGCACATCTCCGGCCGTCCACTGACGCGTGCGGCCTGGGGCCCCGGTGCTTCCTTCTTCAAGGCCGGCAGAGGTCTGAGGGCCCACAGTCCACACTGAGTCCCTTTCTCCTTACGCTGGAACACACGCACAGCCCCCGCCGCCCGCCAACACAGCCACCTGATCGGCACAGAGGGCCCTGCCGCCCACCCGAGAGCTGTCCACAGGCCTGGTGCTGAACCCGGAGGCCGGCTCGGCGCCTCCCACACGGCCCGGCCGAGCTGCGCACCTCCCCCGCCCGCCGCCTGCCCGGGCCGGTCCTGCCCCTGCTGTCCCGAAGTCGACCTCCTCACGTGCACATCCTCTCGGGCCCTGCCGGCCCCAACTAGAGGGAAGGAAAGGCTGTCTCCTGAAACAGCCGCCGCTGCTGGGGAGCCGGGCATGGTCTCCGCTCCGGCACGGGGACAGCCACCTCCCAACCCGTCCTCCTGTGGCTGCGAGAGCTGCGACATCTGTCACCGTGCAGATCCTGTGTTTTTACAAACTGAAGGTTTGCGCCAACCTCGCATCCAGCAAGTGTGTTGGGGCCTCTTTCCCTACAGTGTCTGCTCACTTCATGCCTCTGTGTCACATCTGTCATTCTCCAAGGGTTTCAGGCTGTTCCAGTGTTGGTATGTGTGCTGCGGTGGCCTGTGACCGGGGGTCTTCAGTGTGGCTTTTGTGACTGTTTTGGGGTGACTTGCTCTACCCTGGAGGCCTGGACCCGCCACACCTCTGAGGCTGCCTGTGACCTTCATGGTCACGTGATCTCTGGTCAGCTGCTGGGCCTGGGGCTGAGGGGTGCAGCCAGCGAGGCATTGCCCCAGGTGCAGACTCAAGGGGAAACAAAAACTCAGTGGGCAAGGTTAACTCGTACTTTAATGCAATACTTTAAAACATCAAAACTAGTGCAGAAAAGCCGAGACGAGCACTATGCCCTTCACTCGCCCGCCGGCGGGGCTGCATCGGACACCGACGGCCCAGGGCGCCGGGCGGAAGCTCCGCGACTGGCCCACGGCCACACTCCTTCCGGGCGCCCAGTTCTAAAGAAATACCTG